TGGTGTAATTGCTCAAAAAAAAAAAATTATATATAAAATTAAGGCTTCCCTTATTTTGAAACTTGATTGAATAATTAGTGACAACCAAAAGCCTATTGTTTTCTTGAGGCAAATTCTCTCTACTCCGACAATGTTATATTCAAAATATCCATATCTTGTTCAAAAAATAGTCTTGCATTCATCTCCTTTTTTGATGCATATCAGGTTGTATATTCTTCATAGATCTATTTTTATATAGATTTCAACATGATTCAATTGATCAAGAAGTCCAAATAACAAAGATAGTGGATACTTATTCTTAATGGTGATTTTGTTGAATCTTTAATAATCAACATACATCACAATGATCCATCATTTTTCTTCAAAAATAAAATTGGAGCTCTTGCTGGAGATTTAGAATGGCGTATGAAGTTCTTTTCCAAATTTTTTTCAATATATTCCTTGAATTCAACTAACTCATTTTGTAATAAATTATGAATTGATCCAAATGGTAGTTGAGTTCCTTCTTAAAGGTCAATTGAGCACTCATAGGGATAATATTTTGGAAGTATGTTTGCATTCTTTTTTTCAAATATATCTTAAAAATCTTAATATTGGCTTGAAATGCCACTTGAAGGCTTTCTACCATTAAAAATAGATGTAGCATAAATGACACAAGGTAATCCTTCTTTTATAGTATGCAAGAAATCTCTTGTACTTACAAATACAAGTTTAATTGCTCTAGACTTATGACTTTTTACTTAATTAACTATACTCGTAGTTATACTTTTTAAAAAATTAAGACTATAAAAAATCTAATTTATTTTTGGATTATACTTTTTTAATTATGATAAACCTAAAATGATTGGATTACAGGGAGATCTAATGATATTAAATATTACAAAGCTACTATGACCATTATTTGTTACTTTTATATAAAGAGTTTCATGGGTAACATTTCTTGAAGACAATAGATGACCATCTATGACTTCTATTTGAATAGGTTTAGTTTTCTTCACCAAAGATATATTATATCTTTTAGCAAATTCTTCATCTAAAAAACATATTGAGGCTCTTGAATCTAATAAGGCAGAGGCTTTGTGATGTTTAGGTCCTAAAATAATATTTATTATAAAACAAAGAGAAGATTCTAAAGAGAGAATAGGACCTTTATTAGGTATTGTACAATGTTCCAATCGCACAATTTCTATTATAGCTAGACAACCTTGTTTTCTAACATACTATTTTTTTTTATAATTGTACTCTTCATTTTGTGTTTGCATCATTTATTTAGACAATGTTGAGCAATGTACTTAAGTTTTCTACAATATAAGTACAATCCTTCCTAACAATGATGACTCTTTTCTTGCTCAGTAAGAAGTTTGAAACATACCGCATAAATTTACATATTATCTACTTCCAAATGTATGTATTGAGAAGACATTGATGTTGTCATTGAATTATACTAATGTTGAGGTGCAGTTGTATAACTCTTAAATCAAAATTCAAAAAGTTGATTGTCACACCTCACAATAAAGTTAATTGCTTTACTCAATGTTTGAGGATCAAGTAAGTTGAGAATCAATTTTTTTATCTCATATTATAATCTATAGAGAAATTGGCTAACAAGTGCAGTGTCATCCGATTTAATATTAGTTACAAGTTAGCATAATTATGAAGCATATAACCTTATTGATTGGTTGCCTTGTTGTAAAATATGGATCTTATTGATTGCAATACGAATTGCATCATTTTTTCCATACATGGATCAAAACACTGCCAAAAAAACCTCTAAATTATCTAATATTGGATTTTATCCTTCAAAAAAAGATGAAAACCATGATAATACTGAATTTGAAAGGAACATATCAAAGAATGTAATTTGCAATCCTAGAGTTGAATAGCTTTGGAATTGAAGTTCAATCTCAAGTTTTACTTGATTAATAAATCTTCAAAACTTAGATCTTGTGCCATCAAACTTCTTAGATAGTACAATTGTTGGTTTTTTAATACTGAAATAGTATTCCAACATATAAGAAAGGATGTAATTTGATGCAAATATTAAAGGAGCTTCAATCATTTCTATATCTTTGTTCCCTGCCATTCTTGTTGCTCTTTCTGGTGATAAATTGAGTTGTTGCATTATAAGCATTAACTCCCTTAATTGCTCTTGCTTTTGAATCACTGCAGTCTTCATTTTAAGAAGCATTGCTATAACAATACTTAAAAAAAAAAATTAAAAAATATATATATATTTAATATCGCTCAAGACAAATAGAAGAGAAGACTTGAAAACAAAGAAGAAATACTAAAGACATTATCAATTTAGAAGAAGATAATCTGCAACTCCTAATATACTTAAATCTTATCAAGAAAAAGAAATAATCTATTTTTAATCAAAAAAAATCAAAGCTTTGATATTACAAGTGTATTCTTGTTAATCTATTAAGAAGAAGAATTTAATAAAGGAAATGAATAAGTGAAGCTGTCTCAAAGAAATATGACAAAATAGAAGTAGAGAAGTATGTATATTAAAAAGGAAACTGGAATGTATTGCCAAAAGACAAGGAAACTAAAGATTCTTGATACTAGACTAGAAACAAGAAATAAATTGACAAGAGTGAAGAAGGCTTCAGTCTTACATCTACATATACTATCTACTTATGATCTATGTGGCAACATTCTTTAGGACCTCCAAAAACATGTTGAATTTGCATGACACATATCTTAACTTACAAAACAAGTTTTTTATATAGATGCCACATAGTTAGGTTGTTTCTTAAGCTATCAACACATATGGCATGTGGTTAACTTGTTGATTAAGTTTCTAACCTACCAATCAACTATAAACACATGTAAAGTCAAAACAATGTCTAGAAAGCTTCTAAGAAGCTTTTTTAGAAGGTATTATGAAATGAATCTATTTTTATCCACTTCTATCTATTCATATTATATAGGTAACAATTACAGTAGATATATATTTATGACATATAGATAATTACTAAAAATAAGAAAAATAAAGAAAATAAATAAAGAAAGTAATTAGGTAAAAATATTAAATGATTATTTTCACAAAATAGAATATAATCTAGATAGGAAGACAAGTACTTTCTAGGAAAATAAATCTAAACAATAGATAAAATAATAGAATCTAATAAAATAGATTGATATTTTATAAATTAATATTAACTACTGTTAAGTAGTTATTGAAATAGCATGTTCATAATTTTACTTGTTAATTTTAGAACTCTTAAGTATTACAATATAAATATTAAATACTTTTTAAAAATAATAAAAAATTAAACAATTTATGAAATGTGATTATACATAATGTTTTTGCAAAATAGTCATCACTAAAAAAAACCTATATAAATCTTTGATAGTTAATATATTTGCTTAAAGAACAGTTTTAAAAATACATGGATTGTAAACTCTAATATAACTAGTTAATTAGACAAGTTCATTACTATTTAATAATAATTTATTTTATATATATAGTGTTTATAATTCTATATATGTACTTTAGAAGTAGATGAAATTTATAATCTGATTTACAAAGCTTGTGAAAGAATTATTTTAAGAGTATAGATATTTCATTAATTCTTTCTAAACTCCTTAAGAATACCTCTCAGAATATTATATGAGATTTTTAATTAATGCTTAGAAAGTTCTTGTCAAAACTAATATATATGTAAAGGTTATTATTTGAAAAGAAAAAATAAAGTATCAACAATTATAACTTACAACATAAGTACGAACTATCTATTATAGAAAAAATACTAGCTTTTTTATTTATTTATTTTTAAATGCAAATATGTTGAGTATTAGGTTGGTATTTACAAATCATCCATGCTATTTCATCTTATTATATTCACATTTATATTTTTTTTAATATATTTATTTCTAAAAACATTATATAATTGTATACAATACTATCATATGTACTTCACTTGTAATTCTAAATTATGGCATTTGTAAAAATAAATTATTCAATTTGAGGCATTCAATATATGTATATCTATTATATTGAAAGAATGTGATTATTGTACAATAATAATGCATTTGTAAATGTTTAATAATATAAAGTTATATATGTCTATAGGATTTTAGGATTTGAATTGAATGAGAAATAAATACAGTCTAGTAAAAGCATATAATACATTGTTAAAATAACTTCTACAACTTTATATTGAAGAAAAATACCATTGCTATATTCGGATGCAAAAAATTTATCAATCTTGTTTTTAATTTGTCCCACATAGTCATAAAGAATAAACAAACCAAGTGCATAGAATATTTTTTTATTTATTGAGATATTTACCATTACGTGTTGGTCAATAAGCCAAGTTCATTTAAGTTTCATCCAAAGAAAGTCAATTGATAAAATGAATACAAATATTCATAGACTTTTTAGAAATCTTTCATGAACACAAACATCAATAACAGACAGGAAAATTTGGATTTAAGATCCGATATCATGACATTGTACACCAATGGTTGAAAGAAGTCTAGAAGTCCAAATATTCCACTTCTGGAGTAATTGGTTTCATGGTCGAGACTAACATCATACTCTGTGCTAATTGCACTACTTGTGCACAGTGAAACAGTGTATCGGGAAACGGTCCTCATAAAAACTGTTGTCAAACATGTAAGCACTTTAAAATAAAATTGCTTCGAACATATTTTCTCTGTGTAATGGCACCTTCCTGTTCTCTACTCTAAGTTATCTTCAAAGTATAAGGAAAAATATATATATATATATATATATATGTTTGCAAGAAAAAAAACAAAGGAATAAACAATCAAAACAGAAAACATATAAAAACAAAAATACCACAAGATCGTAAGGATTCAGAGAAAACTCACGCCTTGAAATAGAAGTTATGGTATGCCTCATGTGACACAACGCATTAGCAACTACTTACAACCAATTCAATACAAACAATCCCAACACTGTAGTCGACAACATGGAAATCAACATCGTAGTCAAAATTTTATCATCCACATGTATACCACACCGCTCAAGTTGTTCAACCGGACTTCTGTATTGCAATCAGAGGTTGCAACAATCATCCCAGTTTAAGAAGGAAAGCATACCCATCTCTACATGTAAAAAAAACCCAAAATTGACCAGAAATTTTAAAACCATAAATTATACAGCCACTTTGGCCAAAGCTTTTGGCTACCAATTATAGGTTTTCATCACCTTACAAAGGCTGCACAGCAATAAAAATTCATGTTCCTACAAATGACCATTTACTGCCAATACCTCATCTGAATCAGGCCAAAAAGCTTGGTGCAACTCTTGCACACACTTTGGACCATCATCATCATCCACCACCATGGATATATTCACCTGTTCACATGCCAAACCCCAAGAGTACACATTAAGTGCACGAGGAAAACAATTTCTCCAATCTACAAACACAGAAGCAAAGGTATCGGTCTGGAGTAACATCTAGTTACAATAAAGATTTCTGCAACTTGTCAGCTAATACACAACCCTAGACATACCTTCGAGGCACCTTGTGAGATCATTTGTACATTGATATTGTTCGATTTGAAAACACTAAAAACCTACGCAAGTTGAGCAGATAGGTAGTTAGATGCACAATTCAGAGTCTGTTGTAGTCCACAATTTCAAATAAGATGTCACGACACGTTGTCCGAAAATATAGGAGGTACAGGTTTGAAATCAGCAAAAATATCCTTTGCAATACCTTTTCAAGAACCGCTGATGACTGCTTCACGTTACTAATAAGAGAGATAATAGCCTTTTTCTTCAAAAGCTGAACGTTGGCGATCCTTGACAATTCTGATTTCATTTTATCTAATTCCTGCTATTACTAAAAACGTTAGTAAGCAAGTTGGTGCATCTTAAGTACATTGTACAAGTAATGAAAAAGGGAGTTCCCAAAAAAGGTTATCAAGTTAGACTTATGCAATCTACACAAACTAGGAGACAATCTCCAGAATTTCCATAGATACTAATTCATTTTCTCTGAATACTCATGATTCCAGGACAAAGTAGAAAGTGAGTTCCCCTAAATACGAAAATCATGATAACTGAGCATTATGACGAACTCGCCTGCTCAATTAGGGCCCGTTCCCAGAGCTTCGCTGGGTCCAATGTCAATGATATACTGACCTCACTTGTGGCCACTACATCTACAGAGATCCCTAATTCTTCAAATGTAGTGAATACCTGATAAGAATGACGATATATAAACAATCAGACTAAAGTTACTAGTCCAAAGACGATCAATCGCACAAAACGCTTAAGCTTAATTCAAGTAAACCGTATTTCATGAAGCAAACACATAACCATATCAACCAAATCCCTAAATGAGATTACACTTCCATACCTTTGCTAGAAACCCAACTTGCCCAAGCATACGTGTGCTTTGGATATCCAACATTGTCACATCCTTTTTGAGCACTATACTTGTCATCTCTACCTGAAAACAGAACACGGACACAGAGTTAGGCACTACTGGTGTCAAAGGGGTGTAGACTCTAGGAGCTCTACTTCCGGTTCAAGAGCAACTGCTTAATCAACATGATAAAAAACTATGATAAAATTCAGGGTTATGTGACAAAAATCTTGGTAAACTAAGTTGCTGACTCAGGAATAATGTTTCTTTTAGCAGATTCCTTGACCTGTACTTCAGCAACATCAACTCAGGAACTTTAGGGGTTCTTCCGTCATGAACTTATTTTGTGATGAAGGGAGGCATCACTTTTATCACTTTTCAATGACCCCCATTGGCAACTTCAAAATTAGCATTGAAATTATTAGTACCTGGCTCATATCACGTTCTCTTGTTATGAGTGTACCAGGCGCTTTTGGATTATACGAATTCTTGACACGAACAGGTATGTTAGCATCGCGGGCTGGCCTCATAGACTGAGGATGTAACACCTACGGGCGTAAAGTACAGCAAACTGTAAGCTTTCAACCCCAATACATTTGATCTTTCGTCCAGTAGCAAATGGACACCATATCATGCACAACTCTGTAAAGAGATGTAATACCTGAGCTCCAAAATAGGCCAATTCAGAGGCCTCATTGAAAGTCAAGAATGGAACTGATAAGGCACTCGGGAACACACGGGGATCACATGTCAGGACGCCATCGACATCTTTCCACACCTGCTCACAAGCGAATATCTTAAACTAAGTCCGATTCTTCAATCTGACAAGCGTATGCCCACTCATTTCAATCCCGGGTACCTATGAAAGATGGGTGAGGGAGGACTATGATTAGTTCCACCCTGGGCTCTACCACCACTATGATGTTAAATGTAACTGGTGGTAAGACTGGTAATCTTGCCTCATGCTCTCCATAATCATTTAGCAAGTCAGCATAGCCGAAACGTGAAACTACACAAATCGATTGCGTATACATGAATTTGACCATGAAGAGAATGTACACATTAATAAGTCTAAGAGATTATGAACTCTGCAGTGAAAAAAGTGCAAATCGCTATAAACGGAACCCAGGGTCATATTCTATAAAGGAACCGACACTTTTCTTCGCAATACTATTGGGTTTTAGCTGCATGATATTTCTAGCTTATGCACAATACAGACCTGAATTTCTCGGAGACCTAGTGCCTTGCCGAGGGCTGTGGCAGTCAAATCACTCCCTCCGCGTCCAAGGGTTGTCACGCACCCAGTTTCTATGCCCTGCCCAAAAATGACAAAAAGTCTTCAACACAACTGTTTATGTCACTGCATGGCGTGCGAAGGTATATTCGGCACATACGAGGGGCACTAAACAAGTCACAAAAGACATCTGATGTGGTAGAGCCAGTATGAGTACTTGATCATGAGAGCAGCATCTAAAAGCTCGGATGGTTTTTTCAACTTACCTTACCAAGGAAGCCTGTAACAATACATATGGGTGTACCCTTAGCTGCGTCTTTTTCAAGGTCGTTAAAAAGACGCTCTCGCACGGTTGGGTAAGTGACATCCAAAATTTCAGCATTTGTGAACTCATCGGTTGTTATGATCCCAAGGTCGAAAGAGTCGTACTGCATATCTCATCCCATCATTCGGACACCAGCGCAAGCGATAGTAAAAGTGTAAATAGTTACCCGCACGCAGAATAATCGCAACCAGTAATTGGTCCGGACAAGCATAAAAACTTGCGTACCTGCCGTGCGTAGGTGCCGATACTATTCAAGTAAGCTGCAAATAGCCGGGTTGAAAGGCGCTCCCCAAAGGAAACCAAGTAATCCTTAGTCCGTGACGTCAGCTCCTTCATCAGGGCAATGCCCATCAGCAGTTGTTCCAACTCGTCCAAAAGCCCTACACCAGAGGATTGCGACATAGAAACGTTAATGTCTTAACTGCCTTAACAGATCACGGAGATACTGATCATTGGCGAGACCTTGAATTGACGCAGCAGTTAAATTACCTGCTTAATGGCAATTTCGTCGATAGACGTAAGGACGCGTAAGGCCAGTACGCTTAAACACAAACCACGAAAAATTACTAAACCATGAGCACATAATTGCATTACTAAAATTAGATATTGCACACCTGTGATTAAGGATTCGTCAAGCTTAAGTTCGCGTGCTGTCCTGCCAAATCTCACAAAACCAGACAGCCTTGTAAGCATCACTCACAACTTAATGAAAGTAACACGATTTCCCACCTTCCACTTACATATGAAGAGACATAGATATTCATGCACCACAATTGGTTTGAACTGCTATGAAAAAAAAGAATCAACTTCCTCCATTACAAAATCTTACAACTTCTCGGTCTAGGTTTTCTTCGCACTCAATCGTCAAACGCCTTGACATAAGAAATTCAAACAGACCCTGCGATCACAACCATTATTCCAAATACATGGAAGAAGAGATGGGACGACTCATACGTTTTATGTAGATCCCTGACAACTTGCAGCTCTTCAATTCTACCGGAATTCTTCACACCACATGAAATTGCCTTGTCTCCAGCCTGTCAATCAAATATTACCAAAATTCTAGATCATTCCAAGCTCGACTGTAAGTAGATCTTACATCTCATCTGCACCATAACTATAACCAAGGATGAAAGTAATGTAGGTTGAAGATTGCGCCCGAAGCCAAAACCAAGCGCCACTAGAACCAACCAAACACCAGTTTCATCAAATCTCGATTATTCGCCCGCAACTTGCGAGAGACAGCACATTGAAAAGACGTACAATTTTCTACGACATCGCTCGTTGCTTCCTGAACTCTGCATAATAGCACCCCGCAACACATGCACACCTTCAGCAAATTGTTGGTTGTCTTTCCCATGGCAGACAGAACAATGATAGGTTTCTCTTCCGGAAAACTCAAAATAAGTTGTGCCACTTCTTTCATTCTGTGGGCAGAGGCAACAGAGGATCCGCCAAACTTCATGACGGTGGTGAAATCTTGCACTATCCGCCGCCCCTCGTCCTCTCCTACTAGCTCTTTTACAACAGATACACCCGCGTCGCATCGTACCTGCAGCGACCACACTCTCGTCCTGTCCCTTCGAGAATTTTCAACGAATTTAAACTCCTGGAGCAAAGAGCTACCAGCAGGCATGAAGTGGGAGGAGGAGGAAGACTCTAAACGCCGCCATCTAGGGCCCTGTGATAAATTCAAAGACCTGCACGTCGAAGAAGATGCACAAGATGAAGAAGCAGCAGCGGAGAGGGTTAAGGTAGGGATAGCCATGGCTACTGCGACCTCCATCATGCTCTCAGTGTTCAAACTGGCCTTACAACACGTAACAAGGAGTCCACAGGAATGCTAGGGTTTATGCTGCACCAGCAAAAACGAGTACATGCTCAAGGAGCAGGACCACGAAGTTTAGCAACGAATCAAACCAACTTGGGGATCCGAAGATTTAAGCCCTCAGATTCGGTCACCGTAGCTCTAGACCCCGTCTGAGACACCCAGCCTATTTTGAAAAGCTGAATTGGGGCATAAGAAGTCCTGATGGATTAAGACTCCGGTGGACCTATTGCAAATTTCAGAAACACGGTGGCATGCGAATTCCTTGAACATAAATTCTCATTACATTCCATACTTGGAAAAACAGCATTTCAAATGTGGGTTTAAGTTGAAGTACTGAGATGATACTAAATCGAAGAGGCAAACAATCAGGTTCCATGTTATGTATACATTAGTTCAAAAGTCAGTTGATGATTGTAGTTGTGACTATGAACGTATTTTATCAAGGCTTCCTACAAAAGGATATTGCATGTCGCACAAATACATGTGAATGTAATAACTGAAATCATCATGGAAATTTATTCGATGTTACTACTTTAAGCCTCTGAAATACAAACAATCAGAGAGCCAAAAACAAGAAATGAGTCTGTTCTGATCCAGACGAGCACTAACATGCACTGCTAGCAAAATGAGCAACTGCACAAAAATTGAGTTGCACTAAATTATGGCTACATCCTCCTGTCGGTGACAAATGCTGCAGTATGGACAGGAACAACACCAACTACTCACCGGAATTTACAGCGCATGCTAAACGCTTACTATGTGAAACGTAGGGCTCCAGATCAGACTCACTAACTACAGTGATAAATCACGGACTGCTACTGTGAGATTCTGCTAACTAAATGCTTAAATCACGTCTTAACCTTGAGAGAGAGGTGGACACTACGACTTGAGAATTCTTCCCTGACAGTTGTTCAGAACGGATAGTTCTCCCCAGGCAATAAAATATCTTCATCTGGCCTGCAGATAAGGCCTTCAATTTAGTTCCCTCACTTTGGACTTATTGAAGGCACTATCCATGCTTGTTGACAGGTATGTGAAGAAGCCGGAGCCCAGGACTTAAATATGATCGAAAACCTCAAAAGCAGCCAGATTGAAACTCCGTAACTACTCTGCTCGATACATGGTTATCTCTTGCTGTTTAAAATACCGTCGATCTTCTTCATCGACCAAGACAAGGTTGAGATAATATTTCACGCTGAACTTATTGTTGATGTTCCTGTAGGTAGGAGTCAAATCATAAGGACTCAAGAATAACCTGATTGGTATCGATTCTCCTGCAACGGATTAAACCAAAATTAGACATTTGTACTGTTTATTCTTCTTAAGGCAACCGAGAGGAAAAAAAACACTCGGAACACCGTTCCGGCGTAAAGAATGAGGTCAATTCAAGACAGTACACTTGACCTGTATGTAACTAAATATAAGAAGAATGAAAAAAAAAACCTAATCACTGCACCGCGAGAGACTTATTCAAAAATCTTACCACGGACAGGAGCACCATCCATAATTTCATACTTGGCTAGTGTCTCGCTTTCGTTGTAAGTATTAGGACCTGATCCAGTGGACTCTCGCCTTCTTATTTCAAGCTCCATATGCTTGATCTTGATTCGGACGAGTAGAAAGTAGATCTTGCCCACAATCACATCCTTCAGATGGTATCTGTTTGCTCAATTTGAACAAATTAAGAAATGATACCAAGCAGAAGATGACAAAGCTGTCAAAGAATATTCCCAATCACAACCATGACATTTTTCCAATCATTAAGAGTTCAAACAGGACACATCACTTCCTTGATACAGTCAAGTGTGACCATCAGAGATAGTTCATAGCACTTAAGGACTGAATCTACTGAACAAGATAAAGGTTTCGAGTTATAAGAAGCTTACTTGCTCTTGCTATATTCAAACTCGATATGCAAGCAGTCCTCAATTCCCACCTCCATCTGTAATCCACATAACAGAATTATGACGGTAAGAAACTAAGCCACCAATCCCCTTACTGCAAAGTCTGATTCCAGCATCTACAATAGACAGAAAGCAGAATGCTGGAAGTTTATATAAGATGGCTCAAAACATGCCAGAAGAAAAAGGGTTGCCAGATAAGCCCAAGGCCTGAAAATCCTAGGAAAGTCGAGTACTCAAAATCTGGTCGAAGTCTCCCCCGATGACAGAGAGCGTAGACGTATTTCGTTACCAGTGCACTTGGCCTAAAGCATGTGAAGGTAGGTAGAGACGTCAAGCAGATATTGTGTTGGCTTCATAAATAATGCTCACCTTGATACTATTGTTGATCTCAGGCTGCGGTGAATAATTCCGCACCTGCCCATTCTTAAACAATCAGAGTTCACATAGAAGCATGGAACCATCACTTTAAACCATGCAAATCAGCACGTCATGTAATTTGGAACTTTTACAAACGTCTAACCCATAAGATCATGATAACGAGCATGTCTCACACGCAGTAACAAACAACATCTTCATTCCCCTTACTACCAAAACTCGACCAAATGGGTGCTATCAGATCTGAATCTGCATCTGCATCATCGCATTCATGGCCTGGACGATCCAAAGCAATTCAGCATGCTTTCATAACAGAACAGATGTAAGCATGGAAATATCATACCCAGAAATCTTTATACTCCACAATATTGGTTGCATAACTCCTGCTGATCGTGACTTTCAGGATATACCTGTCAGAATTTTAAAAAATTTAAAAGCGGATGTGATATTTTGTTCAATTGGCTCTGTGTCCATGTATGAGTTTAAAACCAGGAAACATAACAGTGAAATTAAATCACGCCAAAAACTACCAGAAACTGCTCAAACTGTTTCAAAAAAGCATTTTACTAACTAACTGCTTCCCCGTGATCATGCTGAAATGAACAGACTTGCGAGTCACTGATTATGTGATTTTTACCTCAATCTCACGTTGACACCGTTGTAAGATTCATACTGCATCTCGACAGTGGAGAACTCAAAGGGGTATGTTTTTCGCTCCAAGATTTCACCAGGAACATCAAGTTCTCTCACTGCGTTTCAATACGCTCTACATCAGACTACAATAAAGACACTGCAAGATTAAAACCCATATCAATCTAAGCAGTAGAGGTAGTAGTAGTAATAATAATAAGAATAAGAATAATAAACATAAAAAGCACGCATCCACTCACCAAGGGATGTGAAATCATAGAAATTGCCTCTGTCAAAATACAGCTCTGCACCAAATTCAAATTGAATTTTGCATGAGAATTCCGGAACCTAAATGTCCTCAAAAATACTTGCATGAGTGATAGAGACAAAACCTTGATTTACATCATAATGATAATGAAGATGATGACGGTGATTCTTATAATAATAATAATAATACTCCATGTATAACATGCCAATGATGAAAACACAGGTTATGATAGAAATACCAATTTGTCCAAGGAGCTCAATCTTCACACCCGTGTGCTCAACTTTCTTCCCGGGCACGGGATCAATTCGCACCTGTAAACGATCTCAATAATCGTTAACGCGAGAAGGGCCAAACAAAGCTGACGTTCTGATCAAGCTACAAACGGTAATTCATAAATGATCATCAATATAACAGGAAAGTCAAATCATTGATAGGAATGCCTGCACTCTTCATAATTGAATCTAACAGAGAATTCGATGAGTCACGAGCACGGCAAACCACCTCCCCAACAACGCTGTCTTGCCCCAGAAACAGGGGAACCAAGACAGTCTGACCATTTTCCTTCTTCACACTCGCCTGCTTGCGAGTCTCGGCGTCCACAAAATCAATAGAAACAGTACATGGGGAACCGAACGCTCCATACAAATAATTCTGAAACACCATTAACGCATAACACGCGTAAGCTTTGATGCCACCAAAATGTTAAGAAAAACTCATGTGATCTGATCCAAACACTCGATCTCATTCCCGCTACATGCACAGGTCCTATGGATGGATCTACTGGTTGAAGAGTCAGGCCAACTCCCCCACCAATTTCACTACACTAGAGAGTTCGCTAAAACACATCAACACTAATGGCAAGCGTACTCCCCGCAGCTTGGGGTTTTGCACCCTACACTCAAAGGTTAGAACACACCATTTTGAATTCTGCGACGACGATGCAGAAGCGACCATAGCAGCAGTTCCACACACAACTCTGCAACTCAGAAACGCCGCAGAAGTCTGCCTCGTCCGGAGCAGGCGAGCAAAACGCTCCGAGTCGACGAGGGCAGAGCTCCTCCCCTCCATAGCCCAAACAGGGTTCCGCAACGAAGGCCCCCAGCCCGGACTTCATCCATCCATAAATTCCGTCCGATGACGTCTTCATTCATCCAGTGTCTACCTCCTCCATGCCTGCCACGTAGAACAGAGGCCTCGAGGCCTCCGAACCTGATCGACTGGCTCAGGCGATCTGGACCCCCGGAGATTTCTTGTGAGCCATCGATGCGATGGGGAACAAGAAGGACTGGGAACGACAGAAGGGAACAAGGGAACGGGGGTATGAGCGGGCAGGGCAGCGTGAATTGGGCAGCGAGGCGGGACCGCATTTATCACTTTTTATCATAAAACACCATAGCTACAGTATTTAGAGTCTAGTGGAGAAGTACTATTTATCTTCTCCCATTTTCTCTTCTTGTATACAAGACACAACTAGATCAATAGAATTTTATGTGTGAAGCTCTCTCTCCTTAGAAACCCTCTTGTGTGTATGACTTACTACTACTCATGTGTGTGTGTATGACTTACTACTACTCATGTGTGTGTGTATGACTTACTATTACTCTTGTATCTTTCTAAACATTCTCAACACGTTATCAGCATGACTCTCTTCTACACACTATCACAAATTTTTTTGCTCTAGTCTTGATTCTTCAAACCTATTGCTACTCTTGCTCAATGTCTACGTCATGATCTTGTTGCTCTTCTTACTCGCCCCTCATACATTAGCTCCTTTTTTAGAGCACTTGTTCCACTCTCTACCTTGCTTGCTTAGAATACTTGTTTAGAATACTTGATCTAGCTTCACCCCAGCTTGCTCCCTATTGTGCCCCAAACTGCTGCCGAGCTGTCGCTACTGCCACCCTGCTGCCGCTGATGCCGCCACCGCCCTATCACTACTGCCACTACTGTCCGTCATTGCAAACTTGACGCCCTACTGCTGCCATCCTACCAATGCCTGCTGCCACCATCTTATTGCTGTTCTACTGCCTTAATCCACAATCTCCTTAATATATATATATATATATATATTTTCAAGTTCAAGTTTATCATTTTATTTGACTTTATATTTTAAGGTACGTTTTACTCAACTTTTCTACTGGATGTTGTATTTTCTTCAGAGATTTATTTATAATGAGTGCTTCAACATCTTCAACTACTTCTATTATGGTTCCAACTATTACCAGTGCATACCAACATTTTCAAGCTCTTTTATTTCCACCATTGACTGTGGATAGAAACAATTATCTATTATGGGCAAAAATCGCAAAAGCAAATTTATTTGCAAAACAACTCTTGGATGCCATTGTATTTGAAGAATCTCCTACAATAAGTATTTCTATACCTCCTGCTATTCGTTGGAAAGCACTTCTTCTCCTTCATCATTATCTTGTACCTGCATTACAACATCAATATTTGGAAATGGAAGATCCTGCAAAACTTTGGAAGAATCTTAAATCTAGGTTTGATCATCAAAAGACCATTTTTCTTCCACGTGCACATCATAATTGGACATATTTACATGTCTTGGATTTTCTAAATTTAAATTCTTTCAATAATGAAATGTATAGTATTGTCTCACAATTACGATTATGTGGACAAAGCATTTCTGAAGAAGAAATGATTGAGAAAACTCTCTCTACATTTCCTCTTGTATATGTTGTGCTTGCACAACAATATAAGAACATGAAATTTTAGAGTCATTCTGATCTCATGTCCTATCTACTTCTTGGGGAGAAGCAAAATGAGCTACTCTTGTGTAATGCGCAAGCTCATCCTATTGGAACTACAATTCCATAATCTCATGCACTTAATATTTTAAAGTCTAAGAAGAAATTATATAAACATGGAAAACGTGCTCATAAGTATTAGGGTAATCATAATCATGACCATTTCTATCCATATGGAAAGAATAAACATTCTACTATTAATTATAGTAGAAAACAAAAATCAGAGATGCATTCTTCTTATAAGTATGGAATGATTGGACATTTAGCACATGCGTGCCGTACTTCAGAATATTTTATTAAAATGTTCCAAGAAAATAAGAAATTATGAGCTGATGCTCGTGAAGTTCATACCATGGATGCATCCATGGATTCAATTAGTGTTGATGACTTAGAAGCTTATATGAATGATAGAACCTCTAATGATGAATCAAATGATGCGTTCATTGATTCTGCAACAATACATACTATCTTGCGAGATAGACAATTTTTTATTGAAAAATCTTCAACTTGGCAAACTAAAAATATGATGACCATGGCTGGAAAAAATACATTTTGTTTCCAAGAGGGCACAGCGATGGTAAAATTACTTGCGGATTCCATCATAAAATGTAAACATGCGATGTTTGCACCCTCAGTACTTCGGAGTCTGATCAGCTACCGAGATGAACGTATTAATGGTTATCACCTCTCTACCGCCATTTTAAATAGAAAAGAAGTTTTGGTTCTTGCGAAGAACCATAAAGTTGTTGAAAAAGCTTTTGCTACAAAAAAATGATTTATACGGAATTGTGATTCGGCCTCCCATTATATTTAATTTTGCATCATCTATCTCAGAGAGTCGTGTTTCTCTCTGGCATGGACGAATGGGACATGCAGGATCCACATTATTTAAAAAGATCGTTCCATGTATAACTGGGCATAATTTAAAGCCTGGAGATGTAGACTTTATGAAATTATGTCGTATATGCGTGCAAGGTAAAATGATTACTTGGCCTTCAATTTGGAAACTTCCACAAGAATTACCACCATTGCTTGAAAGATTGCATGGTGATATTTGTGGTCCTATTAATCCAATATCAGGACCATTTCATTATTTTTTGGTCCTTGTTGATGCATCAGGTAAACAATCACATGTTTCATTATTATCAACTCAAAACATGGTGTTTGCCAATCTTATATCTATGCTTATTCGTTTTTGGGCACATTTTCTTGATTATCCTATAAAAATATTACGTATGGATAATACAAAAGAATTTGCATCAAAGTCTTTTGAAGACTATTGTACTGCAACATGAATTGAATTGACATATTGTGTTCCATATGAACATGCTCAAAATGGACTTACAGAGTCATTTATAAAGCGTATACAACTCATTACCCAGCCACTCTTCCTTCACGCAAATTTACCTGCATCTATGTGGAGTCATGCAGTTTTACATACTACAGCATTAATATGCCTCCACCCTTCTTCTCTTGAAATTATTTCACCACATGAGCTCATTTCGAGATGCATTCTAAATATATCTCACTTATGAGTATTTGGTTGTTGTACTTGGATTCCAGTACCAGAACCTCAACGGCATACCATTGGAGGTCATCGACAGGAAGGCATATATGTTGGTTTTGATTCACTAAGCATTATTCGTATTATTGATCTATCAACTGGCACATTATTACGTGCACGTTTGCAAAATTGCCGTTTTGAAGAAAATATATTTTCATCTCTTCAAGGAGGAATATCCAATCAACAAAGAAATTAAGTACTCATATTTAAAGCACTAGAATCGTTTAGAATGAATCCTGATCTTAGGACATCTTTGGCAGAAACTGAAGTTGTTAAGATTTTGCATTTAAAACGGATCGTGGATGAAACACCTGATGGCTTCAATGATGCACCTAGAATTACAAGAGTTCTTATTAATGAGGCTTAGAATTCACTTGCTCAGATTGCAGTGCCATTGACTACAATACCTCAAGTTATAACAACAACAACTAAAAGAAATCGTGGACTAAATAAGCAACCACGAAAGAAGAAAGCTATAAAATTGACTAATCCTGGTATCATTTTTCAAGAAATTGCCACTCATCTTACAGGACTACCAATTCAAGATGATATATCTATGCATAATGTACCTTCAATTCCTATCAAAAACAATCTTGGAATTGGAAGGAATAAGAACAAGTTGAGTAAAGAATTATCTATTCTGTATTGTGCTACAGATGATATTTGGGACAGACCATCTATTACAGTATATGAATCATTTGCATAAATGATTATAAAAGCCCTTTCTTGCAAGGAAGACGATCCTGAACCTCAAACCATCAAAGAGACAATGTATCGCTCTAATTGGTTAAAATAAAAAACTACTATTGAGGAGGAGTATACCTCTTTGTGTAACAAGACAATCTATGGTTCAATTGTAGACACTCTTACATCTCGCCCTATGGGATATAAGATGGTATTAATATGCAAGCGAGATGCTCAAGGATTTACTCAATGATTTGGCATTGATTATGAATCCACATATTCTCCAGTCATAGATTCAATTACATTTCAATATATTATTGGAATGACAGTTCATGCTACCCTAAAGATACATCTGATGGATGTAATAACTGCATATCTATATCGTTCTCTTGATGCAAATATTTATATGAAAGTTCTACTTGGCTTAGAAACAGGAATTCCAAATAGACCCGCTCCAGGACAATATCATGGTATTAAATTATGTAAGGCCTTATATGGTTTAAAACAATCTGGACGCATGTGGTATCAACATCTTCGAGATTATTTAATTACAAATAATTTTATAAGTGATCCATTAATCCCTTGTTTGTTTATCAAACGAGATAAAACTAGTTTTGTGATTATCGCTGTATATGTTGATGATCTTAACGTAGTGGGTACTACATTTGCATGTGTTACAGTTATTAACCTACTTATATGTAAATTTGAGATGAAAATGCTAAGAAAAACAACTTTCTGCATTGGTCTTTAGATTATGCTTCTAACAGATGGTAGCATTTTTCTCTACCAACTAATGTATATTAGACGAATTTTGTGAAGATTTAATATGATTGATACTTATCCATTGTCCACACCAATGGTTGGACGTGGTCATGATGGTCATGATCCATACCGTCCATGCGAGGAGGAGGAAGAAATATTTGAAGATCAATATTCATACCTTACAGCGGTTGGAGCACTTTTGTATTTAGCTACATGTACAAGACCAAATATTGCATTTGTAGTTAGTGTTCTTACAAGACATAGTGCACGTCCAACACTATGACATTGGAATGGCATCAAATATTTATTACGTTATTTAAAAAGTACTGAAGACTTGAGATTATAGTACACACAATCCGCAGATCCAAAATTAGTTGGATATTGTGATGTAGGATATAAATTTGATATTGGAACAGCTAAATCTCAAAGAGGATATGTATTTTTAAGACATGGAGCTACAATATCATGGAAATCAGTGAAACAAACAATAATTGCAATTTCATCCAACCATGCAAAAATTATTGCCTTACATGAAGCATCTCGAGAATGTATTTGGTTGCAATCAATTGATAAATTCATTCAAACAACTTGTGGATTTTCATATGATGATTCTCTAACTATCTTGCATGAAAATTATAGTGCTTGTATTGTACAAATGGAAGTTGGTTTCATTAAAGGCGATAGGACAAAGCATATTGATCCAAAGTATTTTAGTTATACCCATGACTTGATTACTGATTAAACACTTATAATTAAGAAAATTGAATCTACAAATAACCTTGCTGATTTCTTCACCAAAGCTCTCCCATTGTGCAACCATTGTCTACTTACTTGTGGCATTGATATGCGGCAACTTGCTTTTCTTAAATAAAAAAGTTAATGAGCTCTTTAAATAATTAAAGAAAATGATGTTGTACTCTTTTTCCTTCATCTATGGTTTTGTCCTTAAATGCAATAAGATTTTCCTAGATAAGATTTTAATGAGGCAACAATTGTTGATCTTACAAGATCACAGAAAAGTATAGATCATAATTCTATACAAATTTTATATTATGTAAATATTATGATGAGCAAGGAGGAGTGTTGAGATCATTAAACGTAGCCGGCGCTCTCCATAATATTTACTATAGACTACAGTAAATACTGTAGCTACAGTATTTAGAGTCTAGTGGAGAAGTACTCTTTATCCTCTCCCCTTTTTTCTTCTTATATACGAGACACAACCAGATCAATAGAATTTAATGTGTGAAGCTCTCTCTCCTTAGAAACCCTCTTGTGTGTATGACTTACTATCACTCTTGTGTGTGTGTATGACTTACTATTACTCTTGTGTCTTTCTAAACATTTTAATACATATATAAATATATATATATGGGAGATACTATTCTCCCACTCATTCCAATTAACCTGAAAATCATGGGATGAAGGAAGGAAAGTAGATATGGAATCAATGAATGAAAAACGAAAAGGGGATGAACGAATGAAATACTGAATGAGGGGTGCGATTTGGATGAAGGAATGAACGAGGGGTGCGTAATGAATGAATGACATGGTGAGAGATGAATGAAATCTGAGATGAATGAGGCGTTCCGCTTGGACGGTTGAACGGCGATGAACATAGGTGACGATGTGCCACATCCGTCCTTCGCCAACTCCGTCCGAATGAATGAAGGGGGTGAGTGTGTGGGGGAGGGGGGGGGGGACGTCGTGCTCTCTTGTACATGTGTGTTTTTTTTCCTTTGGTTTGCTGGTCCTCCTGGACTCGACTCGACTCGTCGCGGACGCAGGAAGGATTTGGGGGTGATACGGGGACCAGGGGTGGGGTGGCGAGGGGAGGGGACCAGGGTGTTGAATGCAGTGGCTGCCATGGACTCCTCGGCCGGGGATGATGGCACCAATCCCATTGTGCACATGAATTCTCGTAGTAGTAGTAACTCATTGTCGCCTGCTGCCGCCATCCAGTTTCTCACGCTTATTCAGCGGCTCAAGGTGAGTCTTAATTTTTTACCTACCTATTGCCCCCATTGTTGCTTTTGAACAACTCTTGATCAATTGTGAAGAGTGCCGATTTTTGGTTCTGAATTTTTGGGGTGTTTCTTTCACGAGTCCTGAATCCTGCGATGGTGAAAAGAAACAGAAACAAAAAACTGAAAGCACCATCACGTCTGGGCGATTTAGGTTTTTCTCTTGCACTCACAACTTTGAATATCGATGAATTGGAATGTAATTGGGAAATTGGAGTGACTTGAGATGCTGTTCACTGACCGCATTATGCATTCTACGCTGCTACATGTGCTCAATCTTAGCAAATACGAGCCCGTATCTTTTGGAGTCAGGGGAGTTTATCATGGAAGCGTTTCGTTTTTTCTTTTTTCTTTTATTTGTTCGTTTCCTCTTACTGGAGCAAATATTGGATGTCACCAGAGTGGATGCGCAGTGCGTCTACGTTTGTTCGTTCACTTCAGAGGCTGATGTTATGTGAATTTATCCCCAAGTTGTTGTCTGAAGTTTTGGCGTCCATGATTATTTCTGACGCTTAAGGCGTTTGCCTTATAAATAGCTGTGCATTCTGTTTGTATCTGAGCATGACGGGCTTGAGAAAGGTGCTGACAAGTAACGATGTGGTGCACTTCAATGCTGCTTTTAGTCAGAACAAATATTTGATCATTTCCTCGCAGGGTTCCCGGCTCATTTCTAGGCTATACCTGTGGTTGATATTCGCAAAAATAGGTATTGAAGTTCCAATCAAGCATCTGGAATATACGAACAGAAAATACTCGTTTTTAACCTGCCTGTTCTCTTGCTCGCCATGCAGACTACAAAGAGGACAGGATGGGTAAATCATGGGGTGAAGGAGTCGGAATCTATTGCTGATCACATGTACCGCATGGCAGTGATGGCTATCATCTCAGGAGACTTACCAGGCGTGAATAAAGACAGGTGGGTTTCATCTAACTTTCATTGATGGTTTCAGGCCCCAGCATTTGTACAGGGGGTGATGAATAGATTTCTTGGTGTCAGCTTCAATTCATCCTAAAGATACTTAGTTTTAGGTCATTAAATGTAATATGGTGTGGATTTCCACAATTTCTTAGCAGATGTTTGGTAAAAAAAAACATTTATTTAGAAATATGTCAAGTTTGCCCCCTAGTTTTAAAATATAATAATCTCAAAAACCAATCGCTTTAAAATCCAACATTTTCTGTGCTCCACAATTCGACCATAGCACAACCACAACCGAAATGATAACAATTATTTCTTGATATGTGGTTGTTTTTGGAAGAATAGCTATTTTAAACCATTGGTGTTAATTATGGTTGATCCAACTGCATGGATTTGATGCTTGCTCACTATCTTCTATCTATGCTCATAAGTCATCACCAAAGTATTTCATTAACCTGTATTTCGAACATACCATCATAACTGGAGTAGCCCTTGGAAATAAACAGATGGACAGAGAAGGTGCTATTTGAGAATTTTGACCAATAGCCCGTTTTATTTTCTTCACCTTGATGACAATGCAGGTGCGTGAAAATGGCCGTCGTGCATGATATTGCTGAAGGTAAGTCCAGTTTTCTTCTTTCGAGTGCATGTTACTAGTTAGTATTTGTTTCTCAGTTTAGAAATCTCTCAAGCTTCCTTTCTCTGTGTCATTTGTGGTCGTAAAGAATCTGTCCAGGTGTAGCACAAGTTATGCTCCTGACTGATAATAAACTCTAATTTTCACAACAGCCATTGTGGGTGACATTACGCCGAATGATAACATTTCAAAAGAAGAGAAGAACAGACTGGAAAATGCGGCAATTGATGAAATGTGCCAGTTGCTTGAAGGGGGAATGGCAGGTGAGAAATCATTAATTGTGGTTAATTTTGAAATTATCATGGAAAAACAGTCTGTTTTATTTGTGCTCTCTCTTGCACCAGCTTTTTTAGATGCCGATGTGTAGTAGTGTACCTTTCCACAGAAGTCGTTCACCATTATGTCCTGCACTATACCGTATCGTATTCATACATCAGCTGATGTTGGATGTTGTATGTTGTAGCGGATGAGGTGAGAGAGCTGTGGCAGGAGTACGAGAATAACAGTACTCCTGAGGCTAAACTTGTTAAAGACCTGGACAAGGTATGCACAAACAAATACTTAATACACTGCCATTTCTTAGAAGATAACAATGGCCTTAGGAAAATGACGCCCTTGACTTTCTAAATTGGTATATGTACGCAAACGTCTATAAAAAATATTTATTTTCTGCCATAAGCGAAATTAGTGTAATTTTCAGGTGGAGTAGATGACAATCCTGACGGTGACCATGTGTGCAGTTGGAGATGATCTTACAAGCTGCGGAGTACGAAACTGGTGAGTAGAAGTTCGTTAATCTTGTGTTTTGATTTGCTGAAGCACTCCTTCCAATGGGACCTGTTACTGTTGCACATGTAATGCAATGACTAAATTGCACGATGTGAGGAAAGCCTATTTCGAATACGCACAAGAAAGATACAGGTTCCCCTAATTTTGATCTAGAGGTTTTACGATGCTGGATATGGTTGCAGAGCAAGACAAATCTCTGGATGGCTTCTTTCAATCCACCAAAGGTACTCAGACTCTCTCCTAGCGTGTGAACATAGTTTATTGTCTATGATGCTTTTCATTTTTTTTCAGTTTGTCGGGTTAAGATGTGGGTTTTGGAATCTTGGAAATGGTGCAGTAAGAGTGCAATGTATTATATCTGCAGGCAGTAATTTGGAACTTGAATGCGTTGCTAGTTTAGGATGAGGCACTAAAGACGTTGAGGAGTTTCAACGAGATGATTTTGTCAGAGCTTGTGGTGCGGAGGGGCCGATGTCTGTTCATTAGAGCTTACTGAGTCAATAGAAATGTCTGATTTTATTCGCCTTCTATCTTCCAGTTCTCATGGGTACTCAAAGTAACAGTGTGTTCACGTTTTGGTTTCTCAGGAAAATTTCAAACCGACTTGGGTAAAGCATGGGCTGCCGAAATCACGAGGAGAAGGCCCAAACAGAACTGAAAAGATCTATAAGTTACAATTGCAGGGAGGATGTGAACACCATAGAGTTGGATTGTGGTTGTGGATGGTGATGAATTGTGCATTGATGATGATATGATCATTTCCATTGCCGGCTCCGTGAAGGCTTTCATCATGCAAAGAGACTTAAATCAAGCGGCACTGTAGGTGATGTACCAAAGGGGGCTGTGGTGTACTCTTCCTACGGCGCTATTTTTTACGAACCAGCTAGCACAGAGAATCAAAGTCTGACAAGGGTCTTGAAATTATTCTCGTGTGAGCGCAAGTGTACATCCTGCTGGCTCTTTGTGACTTCGTTTAGAAGAAGGGCACATTTCAACTTCAGTTGCCGATTCTTGACAGTGACGCAATTTTGTGTGTACTCGGGTGATTGTTTCAAACATACAATGACAACGCGACAGCTTTTGGATATCTAAATAGGCAAATTGGCTACTTGAGTGCCCTTTCTACGAAGGAATGTTCGATCCTGCAGCCCTTTCTCTCACTTAAGTCTTTGCCTAATATCAAGAATTGTGTTATGTGTGGTTTCCAACTTCACGGACTTGGTTGACTGCATGTTGCTGTACAGGAATTTTTAGGCAGGAATTTATGATGATGATGTTGATGTTGTCTTGCTGGTTGTGTCGCTCAGTGAGATGTGTATGAGATCCCAATTTTTTTTCTGTTGTGTTGACTGGCGATTACAGAATGCATATTGCAGCGTAACAAATTGACTCCTCTTGTCTGGTATCTATTTCTCATATCAAGTCTGAGAAGCACTTTGACCTTGTGGTTTTAAAATTCTCCATGTTTAATATGCTGTTCATGAATTTGGGAGGCTATGTGTGTATGTGTGTGTTTATATAGAGATGTTATAATTTAGAGAAATAAATGTAGAATTTTAAGCTTGTCTAAAATAACAATATATTACACTGGAAACATGAAAAAAACAAAATATAATTACAAACTATATGTCATAAAACTTAAGATTGTTAATGAAAAAAATAGATGACAATCAAATTACTGCATGACGTATAATACTTGAATTTTTGTATATGTAAATATATCACACACAGAAGTAATGTACAAAATGTGAATATTTAAAATGCAATAATTTTTTTTGCTAAATGCATATGCACAGTTCCTTCAATGGCACTTCGCACTGTCTTGCTTTGCTCATCCAAATACAACCACCATGCAAACTTTTTATCTTGGTGTTCACCTGCCCTTATTGCAACTCTTTGTTGTCTCCAACTTGTCACACAAATAGAACAACTTATGAGTGATTTCATAAACAACAAACTGACCATAAAGTTGATATCATAAGAGAAGATAACACAATCATGATATTAATAAAAACAAGCCTGCAACTTAAACACCAACATGATTAGGTGAGTTGAACATCAAATACAAATAATTGCATGTGCTAAAAATTGGTACAGTGGACAAATTTAGTTGAATTAGGGTCATAGAAGATTTACTCAAGAGGTTTGCATGTCTTCGGCAAGGTATTGTAGATCTCAATCTCCAAAGTCTTAATACATAATTCTTTGTGTTTTTGCAATAGATAGTAAATGCATGCAATGAAAGTGTAGTTGAAAATATTTTAGGTGATCAAAATACTTGCATTGTTGGTGTACAAACAACTTGCAAAGACAAGCTTTTGCAAGCCATAATATCCAATAAAATACTTCACAGACTTCCAACTCAACTCCCTCCTATCAACTAATCACTTAAAATCTAATACCAGTTGTCACACTGATCAAATCTCAATCGCACAACTTCCTTGTTATGATTCAAATACATTCACAACAACATATGCATCTAGATGAAAATATAACAAATAGCTCCACAAATCTTTGCTAATCCATACCACAACCAATACAACTCCACTTAATACTACATTCTAAACCAAACAACCAAAAACCTTCATAAATGCATGAAACTTCCTCTTAAGCAGCAACATCCAAGCCCCTCCGCCATGCTATCCTCAAAGAACTCCCTCAAAGTTTTTCAAATTTTTTTTGAAACACTCCAAACTAATATTTAACACTTAGATAAACAACCGCAAAGCACTTAGATAAACAATTGCATAAAATAATCAATCTAGTCATATGTAGTCATGTGAAAATTGTAGGTCCAACAACAAATAGAAGCCTCAAAATCAACACATACCTAGTCTATTTTTTTTTTGCAACATGAAGCTTGCATTCCAATGTTAATTCCCATGATTAGGTGACAGATACTACAGCTTCAATTTCTACTCTAAAGTAAAATCCTGCATCCTAGCTTGACTTCCATACATATTGCTAGTGTCACACATGCCAAATGATCATAGCCTACAACCAACAAGATGTGATGTTCTCTCTCATTAATTTTGCCGAACATTCTACACAAGTAGCAAAATTGATACACAAATATTGGGATGCATGTTGTTTAATGGCATCTTTGTCAATTTAATTACAACTAATTGTAAGTCATTAATCTAATAGAACTCCACTATTTTACACAACACCATGAAGAATATTCAAACAAAATTAACAATGATGTAACAAATTTATGAAACATATGTATTGATAGTGTGCATGCAATATATATATATATATATATATATATAGATGTAAACCTCAATCTATAATTAACATTAGTATTAACATCCACTTAATTATTAGATTATTAGATCTATAAGTCAATAATTGAGATACAACCAAGTACACAAATACTCCAAATCACATCAACAACTTCAATAAATTTTCAAGCATTGCAAGATATATGCATATTGTTGTTTTGAAGTCACATAATTTATGAAGTCAAAAGAAAAATATCAAACAATAGCAACCTTAACTTTATAAAATTACTAGAAAAAATGTCCTTTTGGATTTACATACATGAGGGGAAAGTAAAATCCACAACATATAATAGATTGTTGAAGGAAATTAAACAAGAAACTATGGTTTTTATATTAAGCACACATTTTACAATTATAATAGATCTAATTGCAATCTATTTAACTATACAATGGATCAAGCAATTTTTATATTGCAGACTCTCTATTTTGTAGAAGTGGCACTTATATGTATTTCAAAATGACATTTTGATGCTAAAATCATCATGTGTTTGTATTAATATTGTACTCCTAATAAAAAAAATTGATAGTTTTCTTTTAGTGACAGTGATTTTTTTAATAATTGTTTGGGCAAACATTAAATATCAAGATGCAAGGTGTGGATAAAGCAACATGAGGCTCTAATGTATATATATATATATATATATATATTCATGTGCTCATTAACAATAAATAAGCCATGCATGCACAGTAGTTAAGTTTGTAATTTAAAACATAAGAACAAAAATACGAATGCCAATACGAATGTGATTATAACATATGTTATATATTGGTTAATAGTGTTTTTATATAGAAATATACTCCATTATAATATTTTTATTTCACATCTATAGTGATATGATCAGTAAATTCGGAGTAATATATGTTTAAAATATCTTATTTCTTATTAAGCAAAGATGTGTACTTTCATGAAAAAACTTTCTTACATGTACGTCCTATTATTGGGTGTAAATCATTGATTAAGTTCGAATTTGAGAACCATGACATACGCCTATAAATGTTGAGGGTGGAAGAACAGATTTGAATTCAAAAAGACGAATGCAAAGGAGAAAAGGTAGAGAAAGAAAAGGAAAAAAGGATGCAGAAGGAACACGGATCAAGAAAGAGGGGAGGGGAACGTTGTTCCCTTCCTTCCTCTCCCTCCCGGTCCTTCCCTCTTGGTTCCCCTGTCCCGCTGGGGGTGGGGCACAGCGACTGAGTAAGTGCCTCTTCAAGGCTGCGGTTGCGGTTGCGGCTGAGGCGGCGTGCGTTTCTCCTCTCTCTGCCTCTCTCTCTGCGTGTGCAACAGGGGATGATGCCCCCCTCCCCACCCTCCCCCCTCCCCTCCCCCCCCGCATCAGACGCTGCTCCGCCCGCCCTCCCGCCCCCGGCTCTTCGCCCCGCTCTTCTCCACCCGGCAGCATCACCATCGTTGTCGTCGTTTCTGCCTCTCTCTGCCTCTCTCTCTCTCTCTGTGTCGTCGTGTCGTGCTCCGCCCTTCCTCCGTTTTGCATTTCCGTTGTGCTCGTGCGGCTCTTCATTTTTTGTGTTTTGGTCCAGTGTCGCTGCAGACATGTCTATAACCCTGCATCGCTCCTCCTCCTCGTCCCTCCTCCGCCCTGTGGCCCTGCGCCGCTCGCCGTCTCCCTGTGTTTCTCTCATTTCCCTCACTTCCTCCCTCCTCTCCCTCCACCTGATTCTGTTCCATCGTCATGCTACAGTTGCTCTAGTACCTTCCTGCCCAGATCCAGTCCTGCCCTGCCTGCTGTCTTTTCCGGTGACCGTTTCCTCTCTTCCATAGATCTGTGCTTCTAGATTCGTCTCCATCTCTTCCCTGGCCATGCTATTTTTGAGTATTTGTATGCCTCCTCAGTTCTGAATTTCGTTCTCTACCCTAACTTGTTTTTTGCGGCATACGCTCCTGCATACGACTCTTCTACTTCCTAGGTTCAGGTATGCTTTTTCTTGTCACTTGCGTACAGCAGCAACTAAGGTCGGCTATCTTCTAATGTTTCCGAAGGTGACGACGTCATACCTTTGGATATCTCAACAACACGGGCCAAGCAAGAATGAATTCTTCACTCCCCTTCACTAGCAAATACGTCGACGCGAAAGTCGCTTCTTGTGCGAGCGGAGTGCACTTGATTCTGCTCACTGCAAACATTCAGTCGATGAGATGAAGGTGAAGATGTACTTGGAATGTGAGTGAGAGAACCGGGAAAAATGTGAACATCTTCTCACCAACAGTGGCCTAACTATGGTGAGCATTATCATATGCTCGTGTCGGTGGCTCAAAGTGAAGAATCTGTAGGCAGTTCTCTGTAGACTCATTCATCTTTTAGTTCTCACCAAGTGGGTATAGGAAGGAAGATGAAGTCGGATGTTGCTCTCGACCATGCTGTTTTCCAGCTTACGCCATCTCGAAACAGGTCCAGCTGCCATATCCCATCTGTGTCGTCTGTTCTTGCCAAAAGTCCTCGCCTTTTATTTTATCGTAGAAATCCAGCTCTTGCTTTTCAGAAGGCGGTGACGTAAAAAGAAGAGAGCTGGAGTTCGTGGTGCTGTTCCCGATGGGATTCATTATCCTGAACGTATTCTTAGTCCGTGTTGCTCTAAATGTTCATGCTAGACAGCTACCATTGTAAGTTAGTGGTGTAAGTGTATATTTTACAATCTAGAGGAAAGCCGTCATAAGAGTGTAGAGATGCTCACCCATTTGGAGAAGTCACTTACAGTATTTTGGGCCTGTTCAGGTGCGAGCTCGTGGTAGTCTGTGGAGAGGAGACAGAACGGTTGGCTTCTGGTTTACTAAAACCTTTTCTAGTTCACGTAAAAGCTGCTGAAGACCAATATGCAACTGGAACAAAAGAGATCAAGTTGAAGCCTCCTCCTGGATATGGATACGTTTCGAAGCCCGAGACGTCTGCGTGGTTTACCAAGGGAACCATTGAAAGGTTGCCACACTCAGTACCGTGTCTGAGGATTTGCTTGACCTTGTATGCCTTTGTTCTTGTTATGTGAATGATGTGGACAATGCTGGTATCTTAATCTTGAAGCGTCTCGGGAGTTCTCAAAAGAATAGCAAAGGTTTATGGATCTTATCGGGGATGAGTGGGGTCGAATTTGGAACGAAGAGAGACGCATGTTTACATTCCCTTCCTGCATTACTAGACGCCGTTACTCTTGTATATCGGCCTTATCACTGGGACTGGAAGTTGTCGATCCCAAGGATGGCATGGAAACTGGTTCACTGTGTTGGATCGAGTGCATTGTTCTCACCTGTCGTATGTGGGGGTCAATGTTTAGGTTTGTCCGATTTGTAAGCACTCCGGAAGTGCTTGAGCGCGTTGGCACTGTGGAAGCCGAGCTTGTACAGTTGGAAGGAGCCATTAAAGAGCACACAATTGAAACTACGAAGGTGAGTGTTGTTGGATCGTGGCTTTCATATTTAGAACCGAGGACTGCGCAGATGTTCTCTACATTTCATGGTATCGACGCCATATTGCCCTGAGTTTCACTTACAGTGTGACTGATGGTTTTCCACAGATTGATGCGTCACAATCCAGCGTTGCAGCTGGAGCGCCACCAGCAGGTTACTACTACATCTGTTAGGAACCAGCTAACATTGCGTTTTCATGGCGACGGTGACTTTATGTTTCATTTTCTGACTGGATGTTCCTCCAAGAGTTCATGTTCGTCATTGGCGGAAGTATAATGTTCTCTGCTTAAGTCCCAAGTACAGTCGGATGCGCAATGAGTTCAATTGTGGGCGCTTTGTGTGATTCTTTTCGTTAGATTTGTTAGTATGAAGTAGTTATGAATTGGTACAATCTTATCTTACTTTTAACACAAAACGTAGCCATAACAATTGTGGGATTGCTGACGCAGCTGGCAGCATTCTGTTGACAGCTACCACTGACCAAGCACCCACACCGACTCCAGTAAGCTCTCAACTCTACCTCCAGCATAATGGCACATGTGGCATTTCAGTTTAATTTTGCAATCTCATTGTGCCCAGTAGAGGATATCTACTAAAATTATTCGTATCTCACTTGTTTGTTTATTTTGCAGTCAAGGCGGAATTCCTTAGATGAGACCGAGAACCCTGCTCCTGATGACAATGCCAGGTATGTCAGTCCTGTGCCTAATCGTAGACCCGTAGACCCATATCGACTGGTTCTGTTCTCTGCTAGCATCGCTTCTCTTGTCGTGCCGTGAGTATTTCTCGTGTTAGAAAACCTGTTCGAGTTCATATCAACCAAACAGTGATTTAGAATTTCAGCGAATACTAAAATCTTGACAGCATTGATTCGCATAGCAGGCGCCGCCTGTTGCGAGCCATGGAAGCTCGGAAGATGTTATTGCACAAGGAGCAGAGCATGGCGTTTGCACGGGCAACTGCGGCAGGGTTTGACATGCAGAAAATGGAACATCTACTGGTGTTTGCAGATTGCTTCGGTGCAAATCGCTTGGGGTATGGCTTCTGATATCTTCTCTTTTCAGCTAGAATGTAGCTTTGAGACTAGAACTCTGCAGTGCCTGCAGATTATATCAGTATGCTTGTTGATTGTGAATTCCCAGGACCAGCTAATGGTACAAGTGTCGCGGCAGGGGGGGGGGTTCTAGACGTTATCTGACTACGGATGCCGATCTAGCATTGATTCACTGTTTACTCTATGTTCCTAGGATCTCATCGCTTTTGTTGCTTTCCTTCGTACAGTGACGCTTGCGTTATGTACACAAGCATATTTAAGAAGAGCAAGGAATCAGGACTTTGGGACGAGAATGAGTGGCCTTTATCTGACACAACAAGCCTTCGGAATGTTCCCACAAGCCCTGAGCTCAGACCACGAGAGTCCGACTTGTGGTCAGATATGCATAGCGAGGCAGGTGACTTTAGGTTGGACGAACTCAGAGACGACGTAAGTGTCAGATCCTATACCAACTACTATAGTGAGGACTTGTCACTCCGGGCCTATTCTGGGGGAGAGATTCTTAGAAAGTGGAGTCCTCTCGAGGGTATGTTGAGTCCCAGTAGGACGAGGGACTTTAATGGGGAGCTTTCGCGATCAAGGGGAGGGTCGAAGCAAACAAGTTGGGATGAAGGATCCAGAATTGCTCAGAGCCGAGAGGGAGCATCTAGGCCATATGCCGATGATAGCTTTCTCTACCCCCATGGGAGTTCTCGAAGGTTGCCTTCACTTGGTTCTCAACATCCAGGCATCATATATAGTGGGGATAATACTAATGAATTAGGAACGGATTTAGATAGCACTAATCGCGGCAGTCTGGGTCAACGTCAACGGCGTGCATGGGGTCCTCCTCCTCAGTTCTTAGCCCATCAGATATCTGTTGGTCTCAAGACAAAAAGTGGCCCTCTCTTGCCTGGAAGTGACAGTTATCACATGGCAGTGCAAGGGACCCCTAATACCAGCAACGGTCTAAGTGCCTCCTCACACAGGATTGGGGAAAGCCTTCCCAGCTGGGCTGCTGCTGCAGGCCAATCTGATCAGCCTTGGCACCCTGGCTCAACAGCACCTACTGGGCATGGACTTCCCCGTCTGATGGTGCCTAAATTTCAAGCACATGTGGTTGCAGGGAATGGGCACCTGCAATCAACATTGAGTGCTGAACCTGTGATCAAGCCTCCAGAAGCTAATGGGAATGTTCTTTCCTCTCCAGCAGCTAACTGGCAAGAGCACAAGCGTAGGCAGAGAGTGGAAGGGCAGGAGGCAGTTGGAAGCGCAACCCCTGCATCTGTTGCTGCCAATGGGAACAAGTTGGCAACTGCTAGAGATTTGAAAAGTCGTCCAGGAGCCGGGAGGACTACTGATCGACCCCAAAATAAACATGTGGTTCGAAGGGCCTCGTCACCTAGACGCCGCTCATCTTCTCCAATGCGAAGGGTTCAAGTAGGGCGGAATACTATGCGGCGGTCTGGAGTCATGATAGCTAAGGGTGTGAATTATGCTTCAACCAAGCCAGCTGGTAGCTCACAAATTACTCCGAAGGAGTTGGAACCAAGTGATGAGGAGACTGATGATGCTCCTGGAGAACAGAATGGTTCGCTTCTGCAACAAGGTCAGTATGTTCTCTTCGGAATGCAAGTCCCGGATGAGAGTTCGGAATCTCATATGATTGATAGAAATTCGATCGCTCGCTTTGGGATGTTTGTTTATAATCTTGCGTAGTTGTGAATTTTCATTGGAGATAATCCGTACCACCACGACAATACTGCCCTTTCTTTATTTTCACGTCATTACTCAAAAGGATAAGAGCGATCTAATTTGGAATGATAAAAGAAGGATTTACATGTTGCATACTGATACAGATTGTGCGTGTGTGTTTCTCACCTCCTTGCATGACTAGCAGCGATGCTGTGCTTGGAAATCTTTCAGTGTTTTTTTATCCCTGCATTTCTGTGATCGATGCTGTCCTTACTGAGAACATTTCTAAGATAATCAGCATGAAGGGGTGTGAGGTCTTCCCAGAAAAAATCCATTTGTAAAACTGGCAAATTTGTATACAAGTGTACGATATTGATTTGTGTACAGTCGAATCTTCCTTCATGGGAATTGTAGAGCGGATGGAGTAGTTTACTGGGCTATCTGGTTAATAATTGACTGAGCTCAGCGTTATTATCATGAGATACATGAATATATTTATGAAGTTAATTAAACCGCCTTAACTGTCAAATGGAACTAGTTGTAGATTTGAAATGCATAACAACTTTGCTATTGACGAGGTAGAAAATGCCGTAGAACCTGGACTACGTCGTGAAGTTTTGTGAACATTAACCTATTCTGAAGAACTCTGATTTTCCTACTGTTGCAGTTCATGCTGAAGGTGAGAAACAAGGTTTCAGTAGGAAGGACGGGCTTCAAACGGACTCTGATCAGGATTCTTTTGCGAATCTAGCTCACGAGTCTTTACCTGATCAAAGTCCCAGCCGCGCACCTTCTGAATGGAATAGGTCAGTGGATCATGAAATGGATTATCCCGAAAACGGTAGTGAGCATATGTCGACTGGGCACTCTGGAACTCTACTTTCACCCAAAGAACCTAAAGGACGATTTTATGAGCAGTACCGGGAAAAGAGAGATGCTAAACTGCGGGACGAATCGGAATCAAGAAAGGCTGATAAAAACGCTAAACTGAAGTCTATGCAAGAGGTTTTGGAGTGTCGAAAGGCCGAAATGGCTGCTCGCAAAGGAAGGGGTACAGCAAAAGCGAACTCTGATGGGGAAGTCCGAGTTCTGGCAGAGAAATTACGAAGCCCCAAGTCCGATCTAGCGAAGAGCAAGAAGCTTAAGGTTTCTGCATATATTTGCTCATATTCTTCTATTTCTGACGTACAATTGTGAACGCAACAAGTGTGGAAAGTAGATGGAATAGATGAAAAGGATTGTTACATGTATATATGTTGATTTAGGGTATTTTCCTCGCCGTGAGTTTGGATGTGCCTGCGTTCCTGAATTGACTTGATCTGATCTGATCTGGTGCTTAAAACTAGTTCATCAAGTGCGAAAGGTTTAGAATTTCCAGCATTGATTTTACGTGACGGTGACTGCATTTTGAATCTTTTGAATTTCTTACGAACCTCATGACATCTGCTGCAGGATGATGAAGGAGCCAGACGGCTAGATGAAATCGGGAACCAGAGACGAGAAAGAATAGCAGCCCGAAGTAGCCCTAGTCATTCATCGGCAGGGACGGCTTCTACTGTTTCCACTGCATCAGCACTACGTGTCACCGTAAAGCAACCATATACGCCAACTTCCCAACCAGCAATTATTCCTACTCCAACGGTAACTCCTAAAGCGAAGCCCAAAGCCGCTCGAAGGTTATCGCCTCCAAAAAAACCGTCTGTTGGAACTTCCCGAGGAACTGCGACCTCACCCGCAGCTCCTGCCTCTGCCCCGAAGTTGGTTCGGAGGCTTCAGACTTCACCTCAAACCAAAGAGGTTGAGTCTCCCTTGAGTAGATCGGTGCCTTCCTTGGCAGAACTCCGGAAAGAGAACACGAAGCCCGCGTTAGTACGAAATAGCACTTACAATGAGCGACCCCGCAGTACAGGTAGTAAACTTCCTGGTATGCGTGGTGCTCCAGCCCCTCTAGAACTCAACGGGAGCCTTGTTGGTCCCAGAGGAGCTGCTATCGACGACAAGAAGCGACGTGTTGTTACGAAAAAAACTGGTGCCACAGCAGAAACTGTTGTCCCTGAGGCACCAGTTTCGGGGCCTCTCAAGGTTTCCAAAGTTTCTCCAGCTGAGCTAAGTGCTACAAGCAACCTCAACAAGAAACCTACACCTGCACCAGGTGCAAATGTAGACTCTAAACCTTTTCTACGGAAAGGGAGAGGGATTGGACCAGGAACCAACGTTCGCAAATCTAAAGTAGCTGCTGCTCCCGAGCCTTCTAAAGCTTACGAAGAGGAGGTAGAGAAGCATGTTTCTGACTTAGAACCCAAATTTGTCAAGACAGAAGATGGGGGTCTTGACGAGGAGGATAAGGGAATAACTGTGCGCTCAGATCTTACTGAAGCATCAGAAGCCTCCATTGAGGAGGCAGCTGGTGTCTCGACCACACGACCTAGCGCACCTCCCCAAAGTGTAGCTTTGGTTGTAGATGACGATGATGAGACAATAAGGCCTGAGGAGTGGCAAGAACCTGAACTTGCGGATGCTGTGTGCAGTTCTGAGGATTTTCTTGACTGTAAGAGAGATCAAGAATCCATGCATGCAGATATTTCGCCAGAAAACCTGCACTTATCAACGTTGAGACCTTTCTTGAGTGAGGGACTAGAGAACGATTCTATGGTGAATGCGATTCCCAGCGGCACTGAAACACCCCCGCTAAGATCCTCTCCAATACACTCCATTCCTTTGAGGTCCTTATCGCCCAAAGGCTCTGAAGTACCGGAATTATTCAAATCCCCTCTAGCATCATCTGGTGATGCTGCAACATCGCCTCGGGTTACTTTTTCATCCGTTTCAGACAGTTTTCCTTCTCATGATGTTCCAAGTTCTGAAAGTGCTGGGTCATTGTATGCTGTGAACCCTGCCCCTCTTCCTCCAATTCAAGTGCTTCTTTCTCCCGAAGTCCTGACAAATTCAAGGGTTCGTAAGAAGTGGCTTAGTTCCCAGAAGGTCTCGACCCCGTCTACTGTGAAGGAATCTCCACGAGGTTTGAAAAGGCTATTGAAGTTTGGAATGAAGAAAAAGGATAAGAGCAGCGCTGCTTCGACAACAAGTGACAGTCTCTCGGATATTGAGGATGACTTGGATATTATAAGTGAGCATGGTGGACGGACCGAGGATCTGCCTCATATTGGAGCGAAGAACCTTGGTTCTCGAATGCCTGGAAAGGCTTCTGGTCTAGTAGGACCTCCCGCGATTCCCGAGGATTCTACAACTGAAGACGGAGTTGCTGGAACCCCCTTAGTTTCAAGTAAGCAATTTCGTTTACCACTTCTGCAGGTGCTTCGCTCTGAATGTAAGGTAGTGAAATAGATGTTTGCGCACCGCTTGTACTTGTGTACATGCAAAGAATTTCAGATCTTCGATTCATACGTCTGGTCAAAAATCCTCTAACGTAGTGTATTGATTGTGCAGTACCTTTTGTTAGAAATTCAGTACCCACAGCACCAGCACATTATAAGACGCGGGATGAACATGTTGCCGGAAGTGGCCTCTTGAAAGGTCCCGCTCTTGATCGACGCTCTCGCTCTGTTTCTCTATTTGCCTCGGAGCATTTTTTTGATATGGCATCGGCTAGTAGAATGGTTGGGTGGGATATGTTCCACTGTATGGGGGATGAACGAATGTAATGCATGCCGCAATTTGTGATGTCCAATGCAGTTATTGGTTTACGTTCTAGATTTGTACACTTGCCAGCGCTATTGGAGGAAACTCCTAAACGTGATTAATAGAGGTGTCCTCTGCGAATGTTGTTGGGTTGCTGATCAGTTACTCTCTGTTGGTACAGCACCCCGATCGTTCTTCTCGTTGTCATCTTTTCGGAGCAAAGTGAAGCAGTAAGAGGAGACGCCGAAGCTTTACTTATCTTGGCGAGCGGGCCACGTTGTAGCATAAAAATGAGAGCCTTATGTTAATGTATTTCTTGGAGGTTCTGCCTGGCAGTGACTTTCAAGGATCTCTCTGACCAGCAGGTCGTTACCGAGTCCACCAAGTATATTTAGAAAGTTAACTCTCGCTGGAGTTCGTTGGTGCGCTGTTGCTCAAGCGGATACTGGATTGTTCCAGGATATTAGGACGTTGCTGCAGTCCTCCAAGAAGTTCCGCAACCACATTCGCAATTGCATTGCGAGGTCAATCTGCACTAATGCATGAATTGCGCATGTGGTTTTTTTAGAGTGTGTTAACTTAATTTTGTGTAGAAATTGATACCAGCTCTTGGTTGCTGGGTTTTACATGGAATGTAAAGCATGACTCTCAGCTTCTTGTGGCAAGGCTCTCTATCAGTCTGCCCGTTGCATCAAATTGATGATTATAGTAAAATTTCATGCCCCTATTAGGGACTTGAGAATCATTGTTAACCTTTTTTGAACTATTGGAAGCTAGCAGAGCTTATTTCCAATCATGCAAACCTGGTCAAAGTGCCGTATTGCATGTATCGCCTTGTCAGTAAGAAATAGAGGAACTTCGAAGAAAATTTAAGGAGGCCCCTTCACATCCATTCAATGGTCAAGTACCCACCCTGTCTACATCCATAAGTTAGGTTTGCATAATAAAATTATGAAAATTGGCCAAGTGGACTGTGTTAGTATATTTCAAAAATACATAATTTCAGCAAGCGAAATAAAATAGAATAAACATATAGATTCATGATTCATTTGCTATATTAGACCTCTATAATATAAAAATACATACAATTCAAATATGCAAGAATAATTGAGCATACTTTCAAAAATAAATCAAACACATATCCACCAATTTTGTCATAGTATCAAATCTACCCCTAGGTTTGATAAGTTATCACAAAATCTCCGATTTTAGGTTGAAATGGATCCGAGCAGCGTATCGCGCGGTCCTTTTTTTGCTCATTTTGGCCGTTTTTGCAGTTATCTCTCAAGAATTGAGCCGCGACGCGCATTCCCTGCCGCGGTCCTCGCTGCCCCCACCATACTCACACCCTCATCGTGACCTTCACTGCCACCTCTGCATCGAGGATCACTGCAGCCAGCACGGTGGTGGTAGATCCTACCGAATGTCCATATCGAGGATCTACCGTCACTGCATCAAGGATCCACCACCATGGACCGAGGACAGACCTAAACCTGATTGATACATCACTCCATGATGGATCTACCACCATGCTTTCGAGCCTTCTACAAGAGGCAACTGCAAAAATGAATGCGAGCCTCACCGCTACTGATTATGGCAGGTAGAAACTTAAAAAGTGCTCGCCAACAACATGCCACCACCTCTACGCCTCACCGCGGTGAGGTGCTCGGGGTTATGATAATTTTCGAGTTGTGGCTCGAGCTTTCGATCTTCTTCCTATAGATTTAGGAGCTTCTCGTCCTCCACAGTCATCAGCGCCTCCTCCTCCTCTCAACTTCTTCGCGTTTCTTGATAGGTTCTTCTCCTCACCCGTCTGCCACAGCTCGCATGACTGCCAGAGTTTTATCCTATGTGTTGTTAATTGTGCTCTTAGTCGCTCAACAAGCTCCTCAGTGGTGTTTGAGGGAACCAACTACTAAATGGTTCGATTAGTCTCTCGCCCCTATACCCAAGTCACAGAAGATCACGGTCGGGCAATAGTGAGGAGGTGGTGTGGGTGGGGGGGGGGGGGGTGAAGCATGTAAGCTGCGGTCAAAGGTCCACGACAAGCGGTTCTTCACAGATGGGTGAACCGCCGAGGCACTTGACCAATCGGTAGAACATTCTCAAAAATTGTTTTCTGTAGATTTTCTTTGTAACGTGCTTCGCAGGAAGTTGTTTCGGTTTGTAGAGTATCCGAGGATGTGGTCTTGCTCTTTTGGTTTTCTTCGAATTTCGTGAGGAGGAAAATCGAGCATGATCAGTAGTAATACAAGTGTCACGATCAGTAGTAAGCCGGACATAATGAACAGTCGCTCTTCCTTATTTTGGGGTGCTGCTAATCCGACCATGATCAATAATTGCTCCTCTTGATCTGCAAGGGATGCCGAGAGCACACTTGACACCTCAAGACGTAGAGAACTTGGACATGATGTACGGGTTAAGTAAGTGGATCTTTTAAGTTATTCCACATTAATTTGTAGAATTTGACGTTTCATTATTGATGGCAATAATTCATATCCATTAATCATGACTTTGTAATCCAGTTGATTAGGTACTTCTTGGATTAATTTTCTAATTTGAGTAGTATGTTGTAGAGTGAAACAAGGAAAAACACTATTTTGCAAGAACCATATGTCGAGAAATTTTTGAAGAGGAATTACATTTCTAAATGACATTTTTTTTACTGTGTATTATATTTTTAGTAGTATTAACAAATTAAAGGAAGTGATTCATGTTGAATACTTGGGAAATAAATAAATCTTACATGCATACTACATGAATGCATGTATGTTTAAATAAGTGATTCATGTTGAATTTGACATTTCATTATTGATGACTTCAAATATTGCATGTGATATGTAGCTTACATTATCAGATATAGGGGTAGATTTGATATTATGACAAAATAGAGGGGTATGCATGTATTTTATATCAAGAATATAGGGATATTCTTTATATTTCAGAAAATTTCAGGGATAATTTTGATATTTGGTTTAAAATATTTTCTCATTACAATAGATTTTTAAATATAATTTATTTTATTTTTAGTTTTATTTAGATTTGATTTCATTGGAACTTTTTGTATATTATACATGTAATTATACAAATAAATTACAATTACTTTTATAAGAAGAAGATATATAATTATTTATACATATAAAATAATGAAGTAGTAAAATATATTATTACTTATAAATGTCAAATTTAATTAAAAATATAAAACAATGTAATTTATTTCTAAACATAGTAATTTAATAAGAAGTATACATTGAAAACAATACAAGTTTAATAAGTAATTTACAACTGTAAAAATATCTTAGATACTGAATTTAGGGGAATAGGCTTGACAAATGCTGATATATATAAAATAGGCCAAAAAAATTTTGACTTCCAAAATAGTCCTCATGTTTACATCTATCAAGTCATTATACATTTAAAAACACTTCAGATACACATAAACATTTTATGCTTTAAAAATATACTTAGTACATTTTGAATTTGCAAATTATGAGGTCTATTTCTAAAATTAAAAAATTTGTTTCACCTATTTTGATATATCACTATTTGTCAGGCCTATTTTCAGTATTTTCCTTTGAATTTATTGCAATGAAAAAAAGAGTACATATTCATATATATGAATTGGAAGACAAATATTAGTAAATAAGCTTTACTGTGGGGATGTAAAGAAAGAAAAAATGAAGAAATATGAGTAAAAAAGTGCTAAAAAATTACTTCAAATATTAAAACAAGTTTTGATTAACTTTCTCAAGGCAAGAGCACATTATTGATTCTTGAGCAAATGAATGCTCCTTCACATATCTTCTGTCATTATCTTCAAAGACCATATCCAGAATTGTTATTTACTTCTGCCGCTGCTGCAACTTCTACAACTACAACGACGCTAGATCTCTAATCTACTACCACAAATACCAATCCTCTGTTCCATCTCCTTAAGTTCAACGCCACTAACGGGTCATCATGCTTCCCCACACGCAAAGCACGAACAGTCCAAAACGGATCAGTAGCTGATGTCTGCACTTCCCCTTCTTGGAGCTTGAAAGTCCAAGTTGGGTTACATCGAAGCCTCGGATCAAGAACTCCAAAACAACAGCGGATCCAACTGAGAAAAACCATCCAGGGCCATGACAATGTGCAGTCATAGCAGTGGCTAGCGCGGACAGTAACATATTTGTAATGTAGACAACAATCATCGAGCAAAATCATAACATTCAATAGTTCCTCCAACGGACTAGAAAATGAAAGCACCGGATTCATGTCTAACCCCCTGAATGAGGTTTCGCTTAGTAGCACATAACAAATTGTACTAGGAATCAATATCTTAGACACAAACCAGATGGGTCAACACCTAAGCAAACCCTAGAATTATCCTGTAAAAAAACAAATGCTGCTAAATAAGAGATACTGGGTTACAACTTCCAACTCTCACAAATTCCAATTGCTTGATGTTATTCTGATCAAACTATCTTCATTAGGCTGCTGCATATATCTTGAAAGCCTGAACTACCGTAAAAGGCTCCCATAAGGTGGAAGACAGTACCGACATGCTTCATGCTATTTCACGAACGTACCAGAAGTTTTCAATTGAAAGCTATATACAAACATCTGAATGCTATATAAACATAATGGGAGCATCATCTCCACCAAGCCTGTACATTGATGCTCGGGAAGCCCCTACTCGCCAAGAGATTCCACTTTCCCAAATAAATCATGTAGTGCGCTGTACAGAGGTCCAGCTGCCCTAGGCCTTGAAACTGAGCCTAACAAAATATCTGATGCTGTAAGATAAGGATCGCCATAAAAATTTGCATTGGTCGCAGTGCGAGTTGCCACCAAATTATACTCTAGTGAGATACCAACGAATGCACCTGTTGAAGAAATCAACAACCATATATCATATATAAGTACAGGTACACATCTTCAAGGCAACTTAAAGTATGTAAAAGTCGAATGCAGCAAGACACATGAACCAACTACAGTCTCACCTTTACTGCAGCTGTATGTATAGCAAGTAGCTGCACCTCGATCCCCTGCACGAATATCTGCCTCGGCAACCCTACCAACAGGCCCGGCAGCCGCACTAACACCAGCACCCATAGAAAAATGGACTCGACTGCAGAAAGTTTTCACGTCTTTCATTGTTCGGAGTACAATAATAAAGTCGGTGAGCTCCCCTCCAGCCTATGCACATCGTTAAAGTGGTTTATTTAGGCAAATAGAGAGGGGGAAAATGATAAGGAAGAATCATAGTTATAAAATTCCACGAAATAATACGAGCAATTGTATTTCTTTAGAGCTAACCCTAACAACCCTCACATAGAGATAAGCTTTGAACGTGGTCCAAGAAGGCGATCAATAGCACCAAAGTATAAATGAAATGATCATGAATTTCACCTGAGGACCCCATCCCAGTCCGCACGAGGCCATCGCCGACGGTGCAGACCAGGAGCCATCCGGCTTTCGAGCAATTATCAGCCCAGTGCCAAGCTTGTACGTAACCATCATTCCAGCTTTCAAGACAGTTAGAATAGCTAGGCCTCTTGCTCCCTTTAAGACTGCATCTGGTATTGACCTCTCTGGTTTCAATTTGCCGATCTGTGCAGACAAATGCAAGTCTGCTTAAACCACCGAAACATCCTTCAAGCACGAAAATATTTGGGGCACACATTTATAAAGATATCCATCTGAAGTACTACAATAAGTACCTTGTAGTAGGCCCGCACAGTGTTTGTTGCCTTGTAAATCTCCTGCTCCATTGATAAACCGACAGGGCTATTAAGCCACCCTCTCATACAGGTCGAGTCAGTCACATCATGAGTCGCCACCTGTAAATTTAGCAAACATTGAGTCGGTAAAATGTACCATGACAAGAACTTCAAGAAAAATACGTAATTCCTTTCCACAATCTGATGTCTTCAAGGGAACCTGATAGCCAGATCCTCAAATCATGCAACGAAAAAATCGCAGCGAGACCAGACCTGAGCAGCATTGCTAACTCGATCAGCTAGGGTTCGTTGAATTGGTTCGAGCCTCTCGAAACATGTGTCACACGTTCTCTGTGGATCTCGCTCCCGGAACTTGACTGGCAACAAAGACCTTCCGGAAGAGCAACGCCTGCAGAACAAGCCCCCGCAAAATCGGCAATGATGACGGCCCACGGTAACTGGACGGAAGTTGGCACCACATTGCATGCACGCATACGAAGAGCTGTCCGGCATCCACTGCGGCGGCTCCGCTTCCAGAAGAGCTCTCAATGAACGAACGTCATCTCCATTAGACCCATGAAGAAGAGGTGGGGCACTAGGTACATGACCTTGATTCCTCCAGGAATTGCCAGAATCTGATCTCTCAAGTCCTATGTTCATGCCAGAATGATTTTGACCCTCGTAAGGCCAATCGGAGGAATTATCATCCTCACCACGTACCCAGCCACCAATTCCGGCGACCATGGACAGAGCCCCCCTCAAGACGTTCCAAACGTTTACATTGGGGGTAGTATTGGGCCCAGCCCACCTTTCCTCGTATTCACTACTACAGTAACCTTGTTCAAAGTTGTTGGTGCTACCGGCGGAGGCATGCACTCGCTCCTTGGCAGATGAAACAGGAATCCATGGTCCTGTTTCCTCTTGCCATGGCGGGTCCCCCTGATAATTTGCATCCCATGTTTGACCGTCGTGAGGGTGGTTGTAGGACACCGCAAGACGCTCCGATTCAGCAGCCTTGAATTGCGAAGGCGATGCAACAGCGGCTGCTTGCATCCGATCAATGGCATCTCTCAAGTCTAAATTTAGACATAAATTGACGTCAGCCTCGAAGGGCGTTCGACAAAGAGGGCAGAGGGGCATAGCGGAGTGCATCTGCACCTGCAGCAGGAGAGGAAGACACAAAAAGAGAATGACCAAAATCATTATCAGCAACAGCACCAGCAGGCACTACCACCATCACCACCACCAGCATAGCACTACCATCGTCATAACAAGCGTCAACATCAACACCGCCAGCACCATCACAGCGGCAAGGGGAGGCAAAAGCAACCGAGCAGGATCAGGGGAGAGAAAACCCTAGATTGGGAATGTGAAGAACCTGTTGGAGGCAGGCGAGGCAGCCGTTGTGGCCGCAGGGGAGGGAAGCAGGACCACCATAGGTGCCGAGGACTTCCATACACATAGAACAGGTGGGGACTTCATCTTGCAGAGGTTGCGAGTGGGGTCGTTGGTACGAAAGCAGCATGTCGGTGGGGGTGCGCGTGTGAGGAGGGGTATCCATCCAACAGATCAGTGCAGAAAATTCACCCAGAGGAGAGGCAGAGGAGAGGGGCTAAGAAGAGGAGGAAGGGAAAGGACGCGCGAGGCGATACACGAGATTCATCGCAAGAAAACAGCAGAAAAAGAACACAAAATAGAAAGAGAAGGAGAAGGAAGATGAGGAGAGCAAATAGAAGTGAAGAAGAGCCAGAGAGGAAGGGAGGAAGAGGAAGGGGACGCAAAGCAGAGCAATGAAGCAATTAAGAAATAAAGGAGCAATTGCTCGTCAAGGCAAAGGCAAAGGCATAGCGGGCGGGCAATCGCGCCGGAGGAGGAGGAGGAACAGGTAAGGTATGGTGCACGAGACACTAGCGTAGCGTAGCGCACGCACGCATTGCGATCGATCGCAACCCCCCCATACCCTCCCTTCAAACCCCCCTCCCCACACCCAGTCCTCAATCCTTCCTTTCGATCAGACCCTGCCTTGACCCAAGCATCAATCCTCCTCTCTGGTCTGATCGCCCCAGCCTTCAACCAATCTCTCGTTACCAGTTCGCAGATGGTGATGTCACAATCCCAACATTTTAACGTCCATCTTTCTTGTATGTAACAATAGTCTCAAATTTGTACTCTTGTGAAAATCCTGCTTTCTTGAAACCATAGTGCTATCAACTTTATGATAAAAACTGAAATTATAAGACATTATCATGCACCTAAATGATGAAACTTATTGGACTTTCTTGGACACCATCAACAATTCACTTTAAAAAGTGAAAATTAAACAGTAATTTAAATATTAAATTCCAGATTATTTATTATTATTTTTAATTGTAAAAAATATTTTGGATTTTCCTCCTATTTCTTCTCTTAAGAAGATATACTTGTTAAATATTTCAATTACAAATGCTAGTTAAATATTTAACTGACATTGGAGTTCTTTGCTTTGTTTTAGAAGTAATATATTATATTTAGTAATTGATGTGTAATAAAGTATAATATAGTTTGGATAGAAATATGGATAGAGAAACAAAATTGTATATATATATATATATATATATATATATCTTACTTTATTTTAGAAGATTCTTTGTTTTGATCTTAAATATTAAACATAAATTTTAGTCTATAAATATATTTTGATAAGAAAAATTATTTTATTAAGTCCATAATATCTAAAATAAAATGATATAGTAATATTATGTGTAGATTCAACTTGTAATAAAACAACATGTAATTGATAGAAAAAGAAAATAATAAAAAACAAAAAACAAAAATAGTATTGGTAAATATAGCCTTAAAATAGATTTTTCTTGTCCTTGAGATTTATTAATTGATATGTAAAAAATAATCTTTAATAGAAATTGTGCTTGTTGTAATTTATTTTTGTTTTTTTTTTTTTCAAAATTTAAGAAATTTAACTTAATTGGTAAAATAAAGACCTATATATAAAGTTGGGCTCCAATTATAATTTCAATATTAATTATATTTGGTATAAAATCTTTTACAATTAGATATATTATATTGTGTAAACATGTGCCAAATTCCATAACATCATGATAAAACATCCATTCATAGAAAAAATATTTAGAAACTCAATTAGATGGATGATATAATTACTTTCATTATAAACTTAATTTGAATCTATAGAAAAAAAAAAATTGCTCCTTTATTGAGAAAAAAATTACAAAACAAGAAGATTCAACTCATCAATGCATATATTAGTAGCAAATAAAATTACACAATTTTTGATATATTGTTTATTTTTTATATAATTAATGATATTTCCATAGATTTTTTTTTCTTAATTAATTTACTAATCTATGCATATCAACTTCATTAAGGATTTTAACTACATTTTTAAAATTTTGAACATAAATAGTCTTTATTCTATTATCAATGCTAAACATACATTATACAAAGTTTCTATTGTCATATCCTTTTAGTATTATTAGCTTGGTACAATCTCATGTTGATTGTGATAATCATTTTTTTTGTATAAATAGCCATAAACAAGAGTAATTTAAATTTGTAATCACAACTTTTATTTTTGTTCTACAACAAAGAATCAACAAAAAATAAAAAAAATGTTTTGACCTCAACAAATAATTTTCCACTAATTTTTCCTTATTAAATACTTATAATATCAAATAACAACCTTTTACAACTTTAAACATTGCCTTCTTAGTTAATGGTGCTCCATGTCTAATAAATATATCTTAGCAACTTTAAGTAATCCTTCTTATTTTGAGTTTGTATTCAAAAAGTTTATTTTTTTATATAGACCAAAAAAAACCATGAAAGTGAAATGAGTTGTTTTTCCACCAAAAAGTAATAAAGATGCAATTTTAAAAGAAGAGACTCTAATAAAAAGTTATCTTTTATTTAAAATCTAGTCATAATATATTATTAGATATTTTAAGTTGATGGTTGAGTATAAAAGATGTTCTTACCGCTCTTAAGTATAATTTGCAATCAAAATCTTTGGCCATAGCTGTAATATTTGCATCTTACGAAATTCTAATGTCTATAAGATTTTTAAAAGTTAAAAATTACTTTTTAATTTTTAACTTTTAAAAATCTTTTAGACATTAGATTATTATTTGAGTAATTTAAAAGTTAAAATTTATTGAAGTGGATAACCTATCATATTTTAAATATATTTTTTAAAAGAAATATTTACTATTCTTAATTTATAGTAAATCTTAAATTACAATTTATATACATGCATATTTAGATAAATATAAGTATACATATGTAGGTGTAAATGTATATATCTATATATATATATATTTTATATAAAAATATATAAATATAAATATATATAGAAAAATATTACATAGATCCAATTTTTTTACTTAATTGATCCATCCATCCTAACTATCATGAAAAATATACATTTAAAGTGATATATATATATATATATAATTTAAATATATACAAAATTATTATACTAATAATTTAATAAAGTAATAGATTTAATTTAATTTAAATTAAAAATCATACTTTTCATTAATATATATTTATTTTTATATTTTATAATGTAAAATTAAATAAATACTAAAAAATAAAAAATAACAAACTTAACAACACAAACATATAAAAGCATTAAAATATTTTAGTATAATACTTAAAATTTTATTTCAAGTCAAAATAATAAATAAGTAATTACTAATATTAACAAAAATGATTAATACAAAGTATAAGAAAGAATTGGGAATAGATTATGTTTACAAGAGCCAAGTGGAGACGTTTATTGATTATTTTTTAGAAGTTTATACAAAGAAAATAGAAGATTGGAAAAATTTGAGATTTGGTCTTATGAAAATTGATTGGATATTTAAATAAACGAAAACAAAAAAGAAGACAGAAATGATCCTTAATGCTATGATATCGCCATAATCTTATAGTTTGTTTCTAAGGTTTGTTATTACTTGTTGAAATAAGACTGAGATGACTTAGAACTTGCTATAAAAAAAAAATTGACATTAAGAAATGTTGATACGTGAGTTGAAATAAACACACTAACTAATAGTTGTACTAGTAGTCGTTGTACAATAAGTAATTTGTTATGCTTTAATGTGTGCCTATCAGAGGATGTAAAATACTTTTTTGTCACCACTCAAACTAATCAATACGTTTGGTACACCCCTTTGTGTAAAAGGAGAAAGAAAGAAAATAAAGACAAACAAATAAACATCAGTTCTACCTTATCTGAACATAGGATTTGCGATACATAGGCTTGTAATGTCTATTGCGACATTAGAACCAGTAAAAAGATTTTAGATGCTTACTAGTTTACATATAACTTTCAAACTACCAAATGTCAAGTAGCAGATGTAATGTGTGAAGACGATAACTGGGGCCAAAGAGATGATGCTGATCAGGCAACACTGCCATTGAATCATTAGTATTGAGAACAACTTGTCCAGGATGCGTGAACACAAAAAGGGGAGTCCAGCAGGCGGTGGATTACATTCCCACAAGGAGAGAATGAATTGTCGTCAAATTCTGTGAAGAGATCAAATGTCAGGTTCAGAGGCAGACATCAAACAGAGTTGAAGGTGTGTGGGTGTTGGTGTCTGAAACATCGTCCTCTTCAGCAAATGCTTGGGGTTCGTAACGTCGGGCTGCTGCCTCACTGTATGAGAGTTTGGAGGTTATTCGCAGGGTATCTCCAATGTCCTCCGCAGGTTCAATGGGTAGTGGAGGTCCAGGCAACACAAAAATTACTCCCACAAGGGTAGCCAAGCAGATGGCGAGTCCCACCATTGTGACCTTCATTCTAAATAATGCAGGCTTAACCTGCAGACATGTACACATCGATTACCAGAAGTAACACAACTCTAGTTTCAGTATGCAGCACATCTGAAATTCTAAACTATGTACCTTGACAGGGAGAGCATAAATAAAAACAACTGCAACGTGGACACTAGTTCAAGCCAGTTGACACCTAAAAGCGTCCAATGCCATTGGCACTTTCATGGCAGAGTACCATGCATGAACAAGTATTCCATAATACCACGATCGAGTACAGTGTGTCCTAAGAAAGTAGTGATTGATTTCATAAATGAAACGACAGTAGTTGCATCCTGACCAACTCTAACCTTGAAGGAGCCCAGTAACCGGTCCCGAGCCAACACTTCTGCAGGTTTAACCCATACCTACACACACAAGTGAATAATGGCAGCATCAGAACAGAAATCGTATTGTTAAAATGTGCAAATGTGCCAATCCGTGTAAAATAGAACACAGCTACTTTAAATAAACACACGCAACATTGCAATTCTTTATCAATTTCCTTGAAAAATGTATGCAAGTCGTGTAGGAGCACTCACCCGACCATCATACCATCCAGTCTCTTCATCTACAAGTCAAGTTATATCACATCGAAATAAAGTTAGTAGGTGGGCAATACTTGTCGCTCAGATGATTAATTCGTTGAGACACTGAATCAAAATCATTGATTTCTCAAAATATGCACAAAATAGCAATACGATGACAAGGACAGGCAATAGAATGAAGGGAGAAGTGCACATTCTACTGTTGCGCTTAGGAGGCGATTGCCGATGTAGGCCCAACCAAGATAAAGGCGAAGGGTCACTACGGTGGCAGCTATTACTCCGCCACAAGAAGCTCCCAATACGCACTTCAAAAACTCCTGCTGAGCGTTGATACTCAGAGAAGCGACAGGGTAGCCAACTAGAGCAGAAATGCCGGCTATAACAGCTGAAAGTCGTATTGTAAAGGATAGGATGTCATCAGTTGCCCATGCAAATAGCCCTGTCTCGTTCAGCATCTGGTACTCATTCACAGGTTGCTGCTCCCATGGAACAGGGCAGTCTACAGTACTCCCGTCCCTTGCGAACAATGGGTCATATCTGCAACTCACAATTTTCATGTAAATGAGCACTACGTGATTATGCAAATGTAACCCTGAACCACAAAAAACTTCATCGTGCAACGTGAGTTGAAGCGAAGAGACTAACATCGACTGGTTGCACATACCTTGGAGCTTTGTCTCCAGAGTTTCCACCTTTTTTCGCTTTCACAAGTTGAGGACTTCTCTGACTTGTAAGTACATCTTTTACTGGGCCTGACACCCTAATTCTTCCTAAAGGCTCAAAAAGTCCTGACGTAAGCTTCAGGGTAAAAAGCGAGGAATAAGCCGTGCTTGCATTCCGGTTCCCGAGCTGAGCAGTCGCCATGTCCAGAAATTATACTGCAAACAGAAAATTTTCACTCTCAGCTGCGGAAGTATTTGGGAAAAGTATGCAGGAATAAATAAATTGAGACATGATTACGTCTAAGTACTCGATTTACGAAGAAATCTGTACTGAAGCCGGGAATATGATCCAGAAGCAATCACTGCAATTCTATTTCGAAATGCCTATTCGTCAAAATAATCTGGTGAATAATTGAACACTTGCTTCAGATTTTCAGCTCTCTCTCTCTCTCTCTCTCTCTCTCTCTCATAACAGCCAGTACGGCGAATCAAGCCTACAGAAGACAGGCACAGCACACCGTCCTTTAAAAAGAAATAAAACTGTGAAAATACAAATCAACTCACATATTTCAATTTCAAAACCAAACCAAACCAAACTGCTAGGATTCGAACCAGAATTCCCACAAAAATCCAAACATCTTTGGCAAAAGAAACTACCAGAGACTCCACAAAATTTGACGTTACAAACTTCCGTCCTCCCAACCTGTAACAGAGCAGTTCTAAATTCAACAAAACCGTCACGAACCTCGTCACAAAATTATCTCCATCTTCAGTGAATTGGTAAGGTCATGGAGGAGTCATGACTTGATCAATGAAAATCCAACTCAACTCACCAACAACCTCATGAGCTGCTTACCCCCAAGTTTATAATACTCAAAGCAGCATTCAAATCACCTCTGAACGGAATGTTCGGCGTCGCCAGCGGCTTCAAATTCCCAATGATACAGTATCCAGGTGAGCAAATTTCTGAGAGTACCAGAAATCGGCACGAATCGGAACTAGGAGATCTCCGGAAGCGGGCAGAAGTTTGCCAAAAGAGAAAAGCTATGGGTATGGTGGAGCACTGGAGTCCAGACAGAGTGAAACACTCCGCGCACAAACCCGGTTGGTGGGTACAACGATAAAGGAAAGGATATCAATATCAACCACTTTTGAACTCGTGGCGGTACCAAGTCCCCGACCCGCGAACACAAGATGGAATCGATAGCGGGTGTAACATGAATGCTGCATTTCACACGTTCCCCTAGATTTTTGGTGTTGCAGCGACGATGATGCACAAGGAGTCACAAAATTAACTAGAGGTGTCGTGAATTAAGGGGCGAGGAAATGAATTGCCTGTCGCAGGTGATGAGCCTTGTACCGCATGGTGGTCAATCTGAGGTGCTCTGTAACCCAATTCGTGGGCGAGTTTTCGCTCACCGTAATGGAGAACTTGCGAGGTCATCAGGAATTTCGAAATATGGTTGCAGGATGCGGCGGATGGAATTTCATTTGGAGATTGGTCGGAAATGGGATGGGCCGGCGGGTCGCTGGGAACATCATTGCTGTGCATGTGATTGGAGAGCTCTGCATGCACCGGGACGTGATTCAGATAGACATTTTGTTAAGAAGAATCCTGTGCGGTGCGCGCAAGTCGTTCTGACCGATTCGGAGTCTACAACGAGCGAGTGCCTGGCAAGGTAAATCACAAACTAAATCTTTGCTGCTCTATTGAAGTGTTAAGATTCGGCATTTTTAATTCTTTTTTTTGTTGCTCCAGCGCTATGAATGTGAGGGGAAACCCTACAATCAGAAATTGGGTCGTGTTCAGCCACATTCTAAATTCTGCATGCTGAATCATCTGTTCTACGCTTTGACTACGTCCTCCTTCATTCAGCAGTTCAGAGAGAGGTTTGTTCCAGATTGCGGGGCTCATCGGGGCGGCCACGCTTGTAAGCAAGGTGATAGGGTTAGCACGGGAAGCAGCGCTTGCAGCTGTTTACGGAGTGGGTCCAGTGATGAATGCATTCAATTATGCATCAATAGTGCCGGGTTTTTTCCTGACGATGCTCGGAGGAATCAATGGACCCTTTCACTCTGCTATGACTGCCGCTCTCAGTAAGCGCCGGAAGGAGGATGGGCAGAAGCTTCTCACTAGCGTATCATTGCTCTCTGGGTTGGCGTGTACTGGCTTCAGTATATTGATCTTCTTAAACGCTGGCCTTCTTATTGATACACTAGCCCCCGGCCTGTTGGTGGCAGCTGACGGAATTCTCACAAGGAGAATTGCCATTATACAGGTGCTTCCGCTTTCCTAGTACCATTATCAATCTTATACCACATTTTGCAGACCCACTGGTAGAAAGAAGCACTTCTTTCGTGTCAGCAAACAATTGAAGGGATTCTATTGTGTCAAACTACTCTTTGTTGCATCTCATGTATGTCTGTGCACGTGATAATTATTGTTGTGGTGATGTTGATGCGCATGGACATGATCATTTCCAGCTAAAAATGATGGCTCCATGCGCATTGCTTGCAGCCCTAATTGGATTAGGTTTTGGCACCTTGAGTGCGAATGGCATATTTGGGATTCCATCGCTGAGTCCAGCCTTGTCAAGTATCTCCATCCTCGCTGCAGTCGCTCTCCATGTTTCAATTTTCAGTCATTTAAATGCCACGCCTGCACAACAAGCTCTAGCTGGCGGCATTAGCTTGGCGATCGGGTCCACATGTGGCGCCTTCCTACAGTGGGGGGTGCAAGTCTTTGCCCAGCAAAAAGTAGGTATTCATGGATTACATCTCTCCTGGATCAACCCTTTCAAAGAAACGGGGATTTATGAAGTTCTGGCAGTTATGGTACCTGCTGCACTAAATTCTGGGATGACGCAAGTAGCAACATTCACGGATCTTCACTTTGCCTCTTATATACCTGGTGCAGCTGCGGCACTTGGGTATGCTAACCTGTTAGTTATGGCACCGTTAGGGATCCTCTCCAGCCCAGTTCTTCTTTCTCTACTCCCTATCTACTCCCGGCTCACTCGCGATGAGCAGAGACCAGCCCTGAGAGACTGTGTACAACAAGGACTCTTGCTATCGATGGCACTTACGTTGTCCCTGACAGCTGTCATGATTCCTTTAGCGCGGCCCACAGTTCGATTTGCGTTTCAGAGAAGGACGTTTGATGCTTCAGCCACCAGCATGGTGTCATCGCTCCTCACTTGCTATGTTTCAGGTGCTACAATTGTCATCAGTTTGCAGATTAACTCTTTGTCACAGTTAGGAGAAACTTGTGTCAGCTACATTGGCGTCATTTGCATGTCCTTGCGCTGTAGTGACACCTTGCTTGGGTTTGTCTCAGGGTCGACGTTTTACTTAATGAGGGATGTGCTAGTTCAAGTTTTCTATGCCTTGGGTGACGGACGCACACCCCTTTACATCACCTTGGCTGGTGTCGTTGCCAACGGCATTTTCGACTGGCTTCTGGTTCGTTGCTCAGGTTTCGGAGCTGCTGGATTGGTTATAGCTACTATGACCGTAAATTTTGCCTCTGCAGGATTGCTTCTTTCCATACTTTCAAAGAGGCTTGAGGGATTCCGAATGGCGTGGCACCCGCCACTACTAGTGCTAATGGGTTGCGGTATCTATACAGCCGTTGTGACGGAAGCTGCATACGACCAGATCTTTCTGCTCCTGTCTTCATTCATCAACTCTGGGATGTCGAATTTCTTGGCTCTTGGTTTGGCGACAAGTTTTGGATTTGCGTCATTCTTTGCGCCACTTTTGCTTTTTAGATCCTCTGAAATTTCCTGGGCGATGCAACTTCTTCAAATGAAATCGAAAACTTGACATCACTTCATCCTTCCCGTGACCCCAATGACAGATGCGGTGTCATGACATGTTAGTGCAGGTCACATATTGGAACCTATTAGTCCTACATCACGTTTTTGTGGCAAAGGATGGGATTGAGATTTTAACGTGGAAAAGGTTATGCTGTCAGTTCTCCCACAGTTCAGGTGCATGCAGAACTCTTTCTTTGTGAATTGCCTCTGTTCTCTGTGTAGTCTTCTACTTTTGTAGAGCTATCTTAGACCATTTTGACACGTTATTTGTCACCTGCAGGAGCAGTCTCTGAAGACCTCACTGCACACTGAGATCTGGGAGCCTGCCAGAGTTCAGAGCAACGCATGAGATTGGGTCAGTAATCAGATTGTCTTGTTTTGACATGCTAAAAGTATTCAACTCATCGTCAAGGTTGTGACTTCTAAGCCCTCTGGTTTACGTGGCATGTGTAAAGTTTTCAGATGGTCGAGAAAAGTTAAAAGAGCAACATTAGAGGGAATATGACACGCTCGAAATTGACGTGATTGATAGTTTGTTCATAGTGACTAATGGGTTTTTGACAATGGACTGATGAAGTTTGATCGGAAGAATGGCCATTTCTGCTGCTTATGTTTGGTGGTATCAAATTTTGCATTACGAAACATGTCAAATGTGTCAAAAGTATCAAAGGTATCTCTCGGGTTATGAAGGTTTTAAATATTTGAAATTTAAAAGAAGAATAGTTTTTTTCCTGAAGCAACATTTTTTTTAATTGAACTTTCGAAATATGCAACCTTTTCTGAGGCTGAAGACCTTGGTATCACTAATAGGCATATTCTTCTCTCTAAGTAAGAAAAGAACTTACTAAGAAGATTTGAACTCAACGATGTATACGAAGTTCTGTATTGTCATTTTTTAATGAAAATTTGGCGTTCGTACTTATATTTCAACTTGAGAAAGACATCTAATTTACAGATTTATCCTACAAATAGGTGATGGTCTTTCTTCAAGGTTCAAAGTAATTCTTGACGATTTGCGTACCCCTCGAAACATTGTGAAAGGGAGATGCGCACCATGGAGATTGGTGACAAGTTTTCCCTGGTATACCAATTCATCCATCTGCCTGCCCACAATGAGCTTGTGTAGAAGTTGTGGAGTGCAGTACTCTGAAGGGCTCAGCGACGACGATTTCGTTAAGATAAGAAACTGGATCCAAAGTAACCTAGAAACAGTCGTTGCCAGAATTGATGCGGTTCACTTTTCCTGACCACCAACTAGGGAATCGTAGGCTCTGTGGACATACTCATGCGGTGACAGCAGTGATGGTCACCACGGGTCAACAGACTCCTTTAAGTCTCAATGTGAAAACAAATTGATACATAGGACAGTCAAGCCATGCTTGACGAAACATGTAGAAGGTCATTGAATTTCATACCTGTCAGCTAATCAACAATCTGAGAATCAGCAAAATTGAGCGAAGGAATTGTAGACTACAGCCACTTCAGCAGAAATCAACGTAGTTGAAGTAGAAGTGGCGAACTTCTACAAGACGGGGGCTCCCGTTGTTACCTCCGTCGGTTTGTGAAACTTGCGCGTGAAACAATCCATTCTGCCACAGAATGAGTGAAGATTAACAGCCAACAGTAGGGGGCCGACATCAGAGACAGCCTTGTATGTGAAGAAACAAAGAATCCGCCCAGGGCTGAGTCAAGTGTTGAAGGGATGCAACCTCATCTGTCAAGAGGACAGATAATAAGACTTGAACGCAAACTTGGACAACATAAAATAATGGGTGTGATGAATACCTACGTCGGATTCTCAGCCTCAGGCGACATATCCATTTCCCAGAGACGACGTTCTTGACAATACTTCAACACCCACCTCAAAATCGTGCCCAACCAAAATATCATCAAAATCCCTGTGCAGACACAATCACGACGTGAGGTCAACGCTATAACCTCCCATGCACGCACAGGAGTATCAAGAGGTATAAAATTATCACGAGATTTCCAACGATAATGCAACAGAGACACGGAGAATGAACAGGACAATCGGCAAAATAGAGCAAGAGGTTTACCAATTCGATATACACAATCCATCATTCGATCTACTTAATCTATCTCTCCCTCCATCCTAGTTTGTTTTGATTCAGCAATAATGAGAGAAAGAAGGGGATGGGAAAAAAAAAACAATAAGAGCCTACCAATGATAATATCGACAGACAAGGCGGAGAAGCAAAAAAAGAGGAAGACGAGGACATCAAACTCGCGAGTTGATAATAGAATTAGCAGCGCCATTCATAGATGATGGTAGCCAGATCGAGCCTGACATGCCGACACAGACACGGATGCCCCCACCAGCACTGTGTCCCATTCAAGACCGAGCAAGAAAAAGGCCTTACCATAAACGAAGCCAATGCGAACTGTGGCGTATCCGATTGAGTTAGTCTTGATGGCATCCACGAAGAGGTAAGTCATAAATGCAAGCACGCCAATCCACAGAATTAGAGCCAAAGGATGCCTCCTCATAACCGTAATCAGCATTGGGGGGTTCAACATCAGCTCAGTGTCTGCCCCTGCCCGATTGCGTGCTTCTGTATACTGATTGCCCGCCACTGCTAGATCGTTCCCCAACTTTCCACACCCAGAAATGCGGCTGTTGCAAGAAAAAACATCGTTTCAGCAGTTTGATTTTCATCCAATTCATGAGAAGGTAATTCAAAACCGTTGCTCGGAAGAAGCTAGAAGTACGCTTATTCAAGCACAGTCAATGAAAATTGGGCGTACCGAGAGCGATGTCTCTGAAGCTGGTATGTTAGCAGCAACATGCCTAGAGATTTCAGAACAGAAATGAATGATGAGAGTTGACGACTAAACGGTTCTTATCACATTCGCTTTTATAAGGACAATGACACAAAAGTTTATTCAGCATTGGACGTTCAAATACCACTTCACCAAGATAAATAAAGAGGATATTCAAGGACAAGAAAGGTTTCAACCCACAGATTATCCAAAGAAACGGAACTTACTGGCAAACCGCGCACACGTTAGACCTTTTGTTCTTAAACCACATCTCGATGCAAGATTTGTGCGACTTAGCCATCTCCCCTCGACACGCACATCCCAGCTCGATAAGTGGCTCCTCCAAGCGCTGCTGACAAACTCTGGTGACGCACAGAATTTAATACGGAATCTGGATGGACGCTCCCAAGTTGACCATCAGCTTTCGGTTCCGAATCCTATCCTCAGAAATTTAGGTTCAAATCCTCTCACAAACATTGTTTTCCTGCAGTGCTCCGCTGCGCTATCCGTGCTGCACGAGCTAATCGTGCGGGTCGGCCCAGCAGCCAAAACATTCCTGCTCACATCTTCCAGGCCCACGCCACTGCCTGGTTGCGCAGTGAGAATGTCCACCACAGTGTGGTTGTAATCTGGCAGGGAGCTCCGACGGCCTAGAACCATCACATCGACGCTGCTGGTCTTCTCTACTCCCGGCGGAAGCCAAAACTGCCTGCTCTGCGCAACTGCATCACTGGCCGTCCTGTACACACCCGGCACCTCCAACTGTCGCCCCATCGAAATAGCGTCGCTTCTCGCCCTGAAGACTCTCCGCAGCTCTGAAAGTGGCCTTGTCCAAGGAACTACAGGAACGGGATACCTGGCGCTCGCACCCTCCCCGTTTTGATTTTCCATAACCCATTGATCCAGATGCTTGAAGGCACTCCCATATCGAAGTTCCGAGGGCTACTCCCGAGGCTCATTCTGCTCTGTCCACCTCTCCTCGGACACACGATCAAACTCATGGCCAGGTCCACCTTCGACCTGAGAAGGTCCATTCGACCTCGTAGCCTGGCCGCTGTCTGAGCTGCAACGCACTCGAACTAAGCTCTCAGCAGTGAGTGTGCGCTCAAGCGGCAGAACGGGGCCACCGGACAAGTGCTGGCACGAGTCGAAGAAGGAAGTGTCAACAGAGCGCGCTGGTCGTAACGGCGCACGCAGCAGCTCGGCGAGTTCGCCATGGCTGATCTGCTCCTCGGATCCTTTGACGAGGGAATTGAATTGATGCAGCATGGTGCGCGCATGTTATATCCACAGGAATTCATCCCATCTCAACACGCACAGAACTTGTGAGCTTATGATGGGGTGGGACGACAAGGAAACGGCAGCCAGTGTGGCAGACCTGGAGGCAATCAAGCAATCCAGCACCTGTGGGTACTTATTGTAACATCAAGCAATCTATCAATCAATCAAGAATTCAATCAATCAATCAAGCCAACTTTCGAGGCTGCAACATGCACCTACTTCGCCTGTCTGCAGCACCAATCCGCCCCGCCCCGCGTCCAACCACGCACCCGGCACAAGAGGAGCATGCACGCATGCATGCCTGTATGGATGTATATACGGATGAATGAATGAACAATAAAATGGGCTCAAGCACAGGTGGATGGATGAGTTCAAGCGCGGATGAATGAGAAGAAGTCTGGATTGCAGGGGTCGGTGATGGGATCGAGGGTTTGCACGGGCTGCCGGCTGCATCGGGTCCTCTGCCACTGTGCACGGCTTTTGTCCTCCACGTAGGAGGGACGCACCGCTGGCATGCAGCCAGATGCCACATGCTCGGCCCTCCGAGTTCCACGTCATCCTCAGCGCATCCCCGGTGGCAGCGTAGATTGCGTGGCACAACACTAAAGCGCATCCCTGCACCCCCCACACCCCAACCCCACTCGACCCGGTGGCTGCTCTCATGACAAATGAAGAAGGGGCTGGGCCAAGCTTGGATTGCGGGTTTGTTTGCTTTTGTTGCTCAGGCTTGGCCCATTCTTTCATTCATTTTCAGTCCTCCCTTCATGTGTTTCATCATTCCCTTCATGTAACTTATCCTTTTTTCTTTTCAAAACATATTTTATGGCCTTCTCACTTTTGAAAGGTCTACTAGCACTTACTACATGCATACTGGTGGTTCAAACCCACAACCCAATCATAGGTACTTGTAGAAAAATAACGATGACAATAATAATAGTAGTGGTAATGTCATTTACATTGTTACTTAAACCATAAACAAGTAGCTTTGTGAACAATATTATTTTCTTTTCAATATTCATAGAACAAAGTTAATTAATTTAAAAAGAAAAACTTGTTCTACCCTCTTTATTCTTTGAACATTGAAAACACTATATGTATTTTTTTAAAGGGTGTTGCCAATGTCACCATAGAATTTGGTACTGCCACCACACCTTGTCATCCACCACACATCAACACAGTTTTTGCTAATGTCACCACAAATCACCACAAATGCGCATTGTACATCACAATGCACTTTACAAAACAATTCTAATACATACTACAATAGATAATATACACACTCTTTATGGATGAATAGTTTAGTGTTTCATAAAATACATTGTGGTGTGCAATGCAAGTTTAAAACACTTTATGGTAGCATTAGCAAAAATTTCAATGACATGTGGTAGATAACAAATTGTGGCTTCACAAGCAAAAACTGCAATAACATGTAGTGGATAGCAAGTTGTGGTGGCATTAGTAGCATCTTTTTTTAAACATCATTGCGTCCAATACAAACAATGTACTTTTTGAATATAATAAATAAAAAAAAGAAAAAAAAATCCACCATAATAGTAAAAAAAAAAATCAATTTTATTATTGTCAAAAAGTGGTGTTCTTCTAATATGGATATAATCTCATGTGAGAACAAATATGCAAAGTGGTATTCATCTAATATGTTGAAGATCAAAAAGTACTTGCTTAGTTACAACTACATAGAGATTAAACATAGGATGTTGCTAATAGTCAAAAGGTAGCAAAGAATTAAAATAAGTTATTGTGGTGGCATCAAGGGTTTGTAGGTGGTGGCTAGGTTAAGAAAGAACCTAGGATTTATATGGATGAAGTAGAAATGGATGTAATATCAAAAGGATGGAAGTTGCCTCGTTGGTTAGCAAACCACCACCTATAAGTAAAGAGTGTTGGAAGTAAGAATTATCTTTCTCCATACTTATCTTAGACTACAATACTTGTTGATGCTAAGTGTTGGTAACTTTTAGACTTCTTTTCTTCAATAGGTTATGGGCCCACTCACATTTGCTTGAGTATTTTTTGAAGTTCTTTGAAGTGATTTTGTAAGTGTGGAGTAGATCAAGTTGTTGTTGTTGATGTTAGGCTTTAGAAATACCTTACTTTCAGATTTAGATCTAGATCTAGATCTTCGTTTGCTCTTACTTGTGATTAAGAGCATTTTGGTGTTGGTGTTTGGTTTTATTCACTTAAAGGCAAAGTTTGCATTGTGCTATTGCTCAGATAGATCCTTGGTGATCTAACTTAATAGTTTCATGTCCTAAAATTTCTGATTATGCTTAAAAGGCCTCTTACGGTGTATAGAGGTGATTTGTGAGCATAAGAGAGATATTAGAGTGACAAGTCAGACCTAAGACACTTAGATAAGTCATCAGACTTGTGACAAGTCTTAGAAGTGAATTTGAGAGTGTTTTTGAGAGTAAAAATACTAGTTTGTTCACAAAGAAGGATTCTATGATTCTAAGGCAGCAAAACCTTCTTGCTGATTTGAGAGCATTAAGACTTCTTCTTATAATCTTTTTTGATACAACTCTTCCTTAGACATGGCTTCAAGTGAGGGTGAAGGATTGAGAGTTACTGAGAAGTTTAGAGGTGAAAATTTCTACCAATGGAAGGTAAAAATGGAGCTTTTGTTGGCGACTTTGGATCTTTGGGATATTGTAGATGAAAGTGACGAGGCTCCAAGCAAAGATGTTGATATAAAGGAGAAGAAGGAGTTCAAACGTTGTGAAAAGAAGGCTTTTGGATTGATTGCAATCAATTTGGATGAAGTCAACTTCTCCCACATTATCTCTTACAAAGGACCAGCGGAAGCATGGAAGACTCTTTGCAACATCTATGAGAGCAAAAACTTAACCAACATCATCTATACAAGGAAGAATTTCTTCACTTGCAAGATGAAAGAAGGTGAAGACCTCATGGCTCATGTCAATAAGGTAAAGGCTCTTAAAAATCAACTAGCAATTGTTGACAAGCCTTTAGAAGAAAGTGATATTGTCATGACTTTGCTAATGAGCCTTCTCAAATCCTACAACTACTTTATTGTAGCATTGGAGTCCATTAAGCTAAAAGAGCTTACAATGGACTATGTGACGCCAAGACTTGTCCATGAAGTAACCAAAAAGAAAGAAAAAGAGCCCCAAAGTGAAGATTCAGTATTCTACTCACGTCAAGGCAAGGGCAACTATTCAAATCAACAAAGTAATGTCAAATCTTGCTTCATTTGTAGCAAAGTAGGCGATTTTGCTCGAAATTACTACAAAGGCAAGAAAATGGAGATGAACAATACCAATAGTGTGTAAGATGAGTTGGGAGGACAAGATTATGCATTCATGGCAACAAATGCGACCTCTATGGTTGTCATGTCAAGATAGATTGTAGATTCAGGTTGTTCCAAGCATATGACACCTTATAAATATTCATTTGATACTTATGAAGCTATTCTAGCATAAAACGTGGTGTTGGCGAATAGTGATACATGTAAAGCCATTGGAATTGGCTCTATTATGGTGGAGGTGGTTGTGAATGGACAAACCAATAGGATCAGACTCAAAAATGTCCTTTATGTGCCTAAGATGAAGCAAAACCTACTTTCGGTGAATAAACTTGTAATAGAAGGTTTTAAAGTTCAATTTGACATGATGTCATGGATATACTCATGTAAGCTAGTAATTACATATACAAATAGGTAGAAATAAGTAAAAGTAGCTAAAAAGAAGTCAATTCTATAGTATTTGATATGGAAGCTTCCTAGAAGCTGCTTTGACTTCATAGGTGTCTTTAATTGACTTTTTGGATTAAAAACGTAGTCAACAAGTTGGCCATGTGTCACACATGTTGTTAGCTTGAAGACCAAGCTAACTATGTGGCTCATATGTAGAAAAACTTGTCTTGTAAGTCAAGACATGTGTCCTACAAAGTCAACACATATTCAAGGTCCTATAGAATGTCGTCACGTAGCCCCTAGTTAGATAGTATATATAGAGACAAGAGTGAAGCCTTCTTCACTCTTGTCAACTCCTTTCTTACTTCCAGTCTAGTTTCAAGGGTCTCTAGTTTTCTTGTCTTTTGGTAATAGCCATTCCAGTTTTTCTTTCAATATACATACTTATTTATTTATATTTTGTAATCTTTCTTTGAGTAAAGGCTCACTTGTTTGAATTATTTTTTCATCAAGTTCTTGTCCTTGACAAATGGACAAGAGTACACCTATAATATCACAGCTTTGTCTAATCTTGATTAAGAGTGGATTATCCATTTTTCTTGATAAGATATAAGCATATTAGAAGTTACAAATTACCCTCTTCTAAACTGAAATTGTCCTTAATATTTTCTTTGTTCTAAAGTCCTCTTTTCTATTTGTCTTGAGCAATATTAGACATCTTCTCTTTTCTAAGTGTTATCATAGTAGAACTTATTTAAATGAAGAGTGCAATGGTACAATTGCAAGAGCAATTGAGGTAGTTAATGCTTGTGATGCATCAACTCAATTTACCACCACAAGGAGCAACAAGATTAGTAGGAAGTGAAGATATAGAAATGGTTGGAATTGCTTCAACGTCTGCGCCGAATCATATCTTTTTTCCTATGGTGGAATGTCCTTCCAATGTTAGAGAAACAAGAATTGTCCTATTCGAGAAGTTTGATGGTACCAGATCCAAGTTTTGAGGATTTATCAATCAAGTGTACCTTGTGATTGAACTCCAATCCCAAAGCTATCCAACTCCAGGGTCGCAAGTTAGATTCATTGGTACGCTTCTTTCAGGTTCAGTACTATTATGGTTTTCATCTTTTCTTGAACGACGAGATCCAATATTGGATAATCTAGAGGCTTTTCTGACAGAATTTTGATCCATGTATGGAGAACATGATGTAATTTGTGTTACAACCAATAAGATCCATATTTTATGACAAGGCAATTGATCAGTAACATTGTATGCTTCACAATTTTGATAACTTGTAACTGATATCAAGTGGGATGATGCTGCATTTATTAGCCAATTTTTCTACAGATTAAAATATGAGGTAAAAAAATTAATGCTCAACTTATCTGATCCTCAAACATTGAGTCAAGCAATTGACTTTGTTGTGAAGTGCAACAATCGCCATTTTGAATTTTGATTTGAGAATCGTACAAGAGAAATTCAATGTTACTATAATTAAATGGTAACATCAACACCTCTTCAACACATACATTTGAAAGT